CCTCCTCCTCCTCCTCCTCTTCCTCCTCCACAGCTGCTAACATTGATGACTTGAAAAAAAGACTGGAGAGAATAAAGAGCAGTCGCAAATGAGCCCCCCATGCGCTCCCCGGCTTTAATTCACTCAGCTCCAAGTCTTCATAGTTCAAGCAGCCTGCCTGGGCCTAGGCCCTACAAGCTGGTTTTCTGTCTGACACTGCGGATCTTGGGGGAGGACAGAGTCCCTGTGGCACAAGTCTCTTTGTACATACTCTGCTTCTCTCTGGGAGCCTCCTGCCCATAGAAGACTGTCTGTGTATTAGTTTAGTGTACAGACCTGTAAACAGCCGCCCTTCTCTGCTCAGACTCTGTTCTCATCTCTTTTTTTTAATTGCTATCATTTGTAAAGTTGACTTCATATTTCCTAGCTCTTGACTATTAGAAACTCTTTAGTGGTTTTCCTTTGAGTTTGTGAGCTCTCCTCTGTAACCCTAAAGGGTCGGTCTATTCTGTACGGACGCATGGCATGATAAAGCTAATTTAAGTGTCTTTTGTAAATAAAGTTTGCATTAACTCTAATTGTCTGCCAAGAGCCAACCCTGTAGTTGAGAAGGTAGAGCTCGCTGTTGCCTGGAACATCCATGACTTAGCTAGCCACAGGCAGATGGGTCACTTCGGGTGCAGTGTGACCCTTGTTCCTGGCTCCCGGACGCAGGACATGCACCCCATCTGCCTGACTCCCGGAGGCTCCAAGAAGCTCCGGCCGCCTCTGTTAGGGGCTCCTTCCTCAGCTTCTACGCTGGCTTTCCGGCTACTGCCTGCGCTAATGGAGCTCATTAGAGTTCTGGGCCCTGCGAGCTCATTGCTCTTAGCGTGGTTCACCTCGTCTTCAGATGAAGAGGAGCCCTCTCCTGTGACTGTGGCACATCTGCCCTCGGGCATCTCACCACTTGCCCATCTACCCATCGGCCCCAGGACAATGCCAGGGGCTCACTCAGTAGAAGTGGTTGTTCTCGGGATCATTTAGGTGAAACCCCTAGGATACGGGCCTGCAAGCTGGGGAGCAGCTTGGAAAGCAGCTCTTTAGGGGCCTCGGGCCCTTGGCCGCCTCAGTGGCTGCCTCAGGGCCAGTGGGCATGAGGATGGCCTTTCTGCTCAGTGAGGCAAATGGAATCGTCAGCTCTTATCTAAGGAGTGCTGTAAGTCCTCCCCAACACTTAAATCATAATAAAGGGGACTGAAGACCAGTTCAAAAGCAGCTGATGCATGTGTGTGCAGTTTAGTGAGAGAAATTGGAGTGAAACCTGTTCATAGCATCTTAGGCATAATGGTAGCACGTGCTCTGACGTGTGCTTCCCCACAAGCCAGGCAGGGAGCTGCCCTGCGTATGTGCAGTTCACATTGTCTGCTTGGGGCTGGAAGCGCAGACCAGTGGACTTCCCAGCCCTGAGCAGCATCCTTCCTCAGTGGGCTTTAGCTTCTCCTTCTCACCAGCCCTGTCTTGTACAGTGTGTTCAGTGGCCTGATTAGCCCCGCTCTGCGCTACCCGAGCTACACTGCCCTGGTTCAGTGGGAGCCCTTGCTGCTGTTCCCCCGTCACAGGGGAAAAGAATTAAACACCTGCAGTCTAGAGAAGGAGATGTGCATTGCAGTTTATTCAGCATCCAAGGACTGACTGAAAACCAGCAAGCCCTGAAGAAGCCCAGAGAGTGAAGCCGTCTCTGTCAAGGGCTGATGGTCTGCCCAGTAACAGAAAGCCTCGGGGCAGCTAGGTGGCTCAGTGGACAGAGCACCGGCCCTGAAGTCAGGAGGACCTGAGTTCAAATGTGGCCTCAGACCAAACACATGACAGTTACTAGCTGTGTGACCCTGGACAAGTCACTTAACCCCAGCTCCCTTTAAAAAAAAAAAAGACAACAACAGAAGGCTTCTCCATCCACTGCTCGGAGAGCCCCTGGGAAGGCCACACCCTAAAAGGCAATCAGACCCCTTGTTTTATTAAGGCTTTGCACAGGTGAAGTGCTTTACAGTCTACAGTGTCCACTCATCTGGGAGCCAGATCTTGTCCTGTGGGGGTAGGGACACCTCTGGTTCTTTGCGTTGGGCTGCTTCTAGATTCTAATTCTTTATGGTGTACCTTGAGCAGGGCTTTAGTCTTGGAAGGGATTTCCCGTGATGATGCCTGGAAAGCGGTGTGTCACCATGGAAAGAACACTTGTTGTGAAGCCAGAAGACCTCCTGGCTTCTCATCCCACCTCTGAGACTAGCAACTGTTAGAACTGTGGGCGAATCAAGTCACCAAGCCACCTCCATTTCTTTACTTGTAAAACGGGAGAGTTGGGGTTGATTTACTTCCAAGCGCCTTCCAGCTCTGTGACACCTCCCCCCTTCCTTCACCTCTGGGCCCCGGGAGAAGGCTGGAGAGGGCTGAGGGAGGTTTGTAGGAATACTTTACTGTTTCTGACTCTTTAAGCCAGTCATGCCTGGGGCAGGAGGAAAAGCAGGCAGAAGATGTAAGGTCTCAAAAGTATAAATGTGGTTTTCAGTTGTTTCAGTCCTGTCCACCTCTTCCTGACCGACCCCATTCGGGGTTTTCTTGGCAAAGACACCGAGTGGTTTGTCATTTCCTTCTCCAGCTCATTTCACAGATGAGCAAACTGAGGTCAGCAAGGTTGAGTGACTTGCCTAGGGTCACACAGCTAGTGTGTATCTGAGGCCGGAGTTGAGCACAGGAAGATGAGTCTGGGCCAGGCACTCTATCCATCTCAACAGATTCCCAAAGAGGGACAGATGAGCTGCCCAGGGAGAAAATGGGTTCTCAGTCGTGGCGACTTTTCACACGGGCTGGATGACCTTTGCCAAGGATGTGCCAGTAATCTTCAGGGATGGCTGAGGGCACATAATTTCCACGGCCCATCTCGGCTCACACAGGGTGGTTCCGTAGTAGAACTATCAAAGGAGCAGCAGCACCGGCTTGCACCTCGAAGCCAGTGCAATGGAGAGGCAGTGTTGCATTGTGGCTAGCTGGGTGACCCTGGGCAAGTCACTTCACCTGTGAGCCTCAGTTTCCTCATCTGTAAAACAGGGATAACAGCACCCACCTCCCCAGGTTGTGGAGATCCAGCGAGATAATCATTGTAAAGCGCTTCTCGTGGTGCCTGGCACATAGGGGGTGCTACGGAAATGCTAGCTGTCGTTGGGTCTGTTGTCCTTGATGCGCCTTCTAGCCGTTGCTCCTAATTCCCTCTTCCAGGAGAGCTGCTGTCCCTCTCCCTGCCTCCCCCACCACCACTGTAAGGGGCTTGCTGAAGCCAAGCATCCTTTGGTCAGTAGGCGTGTGGCCCAGACCCCCTCCCCCACTCCTCACTGCGCCGGTGGCCCTCCCAACCCCCCTCCTATGGTGTGGGGGCCAGAACGGCGCCCAGGACGCCATCTGGAGCCCGACTGATTCAGAGGACAGACCGAGGGGCAATCGGTCTATGTCTGAAAGGTGTGCTGCCCGAGACGCTGCATCATACCGTTGCCACCTGGTGAGCTGCCATCCCTCCCCTGTCTGGCCATCCCTCATTCATCTTGCTGTCATGAGAACCGGTTTCTGAACCCAAGTAAACGCTAAGCTATGGGCCAGTCCCCAAAAGTCTCAGGACAGTTTTAAGCTTCAAAAACTTTAGAAGTGGGGGAGAGAAGATAACACGACCTTGTACCAGGCACTGTGCTTTACAAATATACAACAATCCTGGGAACAGGTAGTGTTATCCCCATTTTGCAACTGAAGAAACTGAGGCAGACAGATGTGAAGTGACTTGCCCAGAGTCACACAGCTAGTAAGTGGCTAAGGTCAGATTTGAACTCAGCTCTTCCTAACTCCAGGCCCAGCACTCTATCCACTGCGCCACCCAGCTGCCCTGTGTATACAAGCTACAACTACAAAAAGCAACATTTGAAAGATTTGATTTTTAAAATTTTTAAATGTTGATGTTTCTTTGTAAAACTCAACATGGTCACTATCTTGTGAACTTTGTTAAAAAAAAAAAAACCAACTCATTAGCTGCTCCCCAGGGACTAAGAGGATTGCCTTGGTAATCCCAGCCTTAAGATCATGCGAAGAATGAGGTTTGGAGGCAGAGGGGACGGTGTGGATGCGACCCCACAAGAAAGCAGCCCAACAGAGACAGATGAGGTCACTGGAGTGGCTCAGCAAGGGGACCTCTTCTGCACATCCCCAGGTCGGAGAAAGTTCTGTACAGAAACTGGTCACCGGCAGTGCAGAAAGACGGGTCCCGTCTTGTTCAAATGAAGGTCATTCAGAATGCACAAAGCTAAGTAAATGTAAAAGTTTAAACTCTCCAATGGTGGGGTGTGTGTAGCATTTTTACTTCTGAAGTTATTAAAGCTTAAGGACTTTAGAGACCCATTCTATTAGATTCACATTCTTTTTTTGTTGTTGTTGTTGGCTAGGCAGTGGGGTTAAGTGACTTGCCCAGGGTCTCACAGTTGGTAAGTGTTACATGTCTGAGGTCGAATTTGAACTGAGGTCCTCCTGAATCCAGGGCTGGTGCTCTATCCACTGCACCACCTAGCTGCCTCTCCCTGCAGCACCCCCCCCTTCTATTAGATTCAGCCCCATCTTCTGTTTGTATTCTGATTTAGCTAGTGTGTTAGCAAAACTTTAGTTAGCTTGGTGTCATTTACAAACTGGGTAAATATGGCATCTATGCCTTTTTCCAACGAGGCAATGAAGTGGCACAGTGGATGGAGCACAAGCCTGGAGTCAGGAAGACATGAGTTCAAATCCAGCATCAGACACTAGCTGTGACCCTGGGCAATTCACTCAACCATGTTTACCTCAGTTTACTCATCTGTAAAATGAGCCAGAGAAGAAAATGGCAAAGCACTGCAGTATCTTTGCCAAGAAAACCCCAAATGGGGTCACAGAGTCAGACATGACAGAAAACGACTGAACAACTTTCCTTCATCCAAAGTTTTTACAAAAATATTCAGTAGTATAAGAGCAAACACAGATCACTCCATCCATTTATTCATTCATTCACCTGTAGCACTCAACTACACAGGAACATAGAAATTTCAGTCCTGCCTCATATAGCCCAATTGCCAACAGTTGGCCCAAGGGACATGCTATGAGAGGGCACATCTGTCCTCTCTGATAGCCTTAAAGACTAGATAAATCCCTTAACTTGTGGTTTAAAAAATAATCCTAAATTCCAATTCCTTTTCCAATTTATAAACAGTCAGCTAAGTGGACTGGTGTAGATAAGATCATGGGGGTTGGAGTCTGGAAGACGAGTTTAAATCCTGTCTCAAATACTTAGTAGCCAAGTGACCCTATTAAACTCTCTCAGCATCAGTTTCCTCATCTGTAAAATGGGGATAATGATAACACCCAATTCTCAGGGTTGGGATGATGAAATCAGAGAACATGTAAAAACATTTTGCCACCCTTAAAAAGCCGGCTTTTATCAAGGGAGGCTATGTGTAGAGGGGGTTAGTCTTGGTGAGAAGGGCTATCTCTTCATCAGAGGAGTGGAGGAAGAGAGAATGAGGGCTGAGGTCACCCAGGCATTTGGTGTGAACGCACAAAGTCTGACATGATCGGCCAGCTCCAGGCAGGAGTGAGAAAGTGAGATGGGGAGGTTTCCCTGTTGGGCCTTCTGGGCTTACAGGGAAAGGAGGCTAGGTCCAATCTATTCCTGTAGTTTGGCCCCCGCCTTGCACCCCCAAATTCTCTCATCTCCCTCAAGCCTGGGCCTCCTTACATTAGGGCCCTTAACTAGGGTCTGTGCAGCGACTTCAGGGGTGTCTATGAGCTTGGATGGGGAAGAATTACATCCTTGTTTTCACTAACCTCTAAATGAAACTTGATATTTCCTTTAATTATTTAAAAGCATGATTCTGATAAGCAGTCCATAGGCTTCCCCGGACTGCCCAAGGGGCCTATAGCCCCCAAAAGGTTAAGAACCCCTGCCTTCTGTGGTGATTTCTTTTCCAAAGTTGGTTCCTTTTGGTCCAAATGGTGGCTTGGTTCTTAGATGTCCCAAGCAGCCCCTCTGGGGGCCATCTGAGCCCAAGAGGAGGAGCTAAATGTGAGAAGTGGGATAACCGAAGCTCATAGAGGGAAAGATTTTTATTGGGAAATATATATTTTAGAAATAAAAAACAAAACAAACCTTCCCACTTCACTGGGGAAGGGGGGAGACCTCTCTAGTTCATGCTCCTTGCTTGGGGGCAGGGATAGGGCCTTGCAGGTGGCCCCCTAAAGTCCAAATCGGTCGATGGTTTTCTGTATCCACTTCTTCAGACGGAAGACATGAGTGTAGAAGCCGTATTTCCCATCCCGGTCGCAGCCTTCACCCCAGGACACAATTCCCATTTGGTACCAGCGCTTGTCAAAAGGGCTCTTAAAGAAGACAGGATGGGTGATGTCCCAGGGATACCTCCATCTACCCTCCCTGGTAACTGCCTCTTCAAGCCACCATCCCCATCCCGTGCTGGGAATAGAGCCATACAGAATGATTGTTGCATAGGAGACAGAGAGAGTGGGATGAGAATGATCTCTCTTCGAGTGTATGAAGCACAACCCAGAATGACTCTGTTAACGCCTTCTGCGTATTGGAACCCTAGGACAAAGCTCCAGTTGCCCCGGCCTAGTTTTAGATCTGTCCTGGGCCCTTTCCCAGCCCAATGCTTTCCCAAATGTCCATCTACCCAGAAGGGACACCCACCTTCATAACAAAAGGCCCTCCGCTGTCTCCTTCACAAGAATCCCCTCGCTTCTGATCATCAGCTTTGTACCCTAGAGAGGGGGCGATAGTCATTTGCTTCGCCCTCTCTGCCTATCCCCAAGGACGCCTGAGGGGAGATGACCTGGGCAGCAGGCCACGCTGGTCTCTACCCACTCTCTCTCTCAGACTGCTTGAATGGACTTTGAGCTTCCTCTTCCCAACCCCTCCTCTCGCCCCACAAACTTGCCTGCGCAGAACATGTTGTCTGTGATTTTGATCCGGGTGGAAGCCCGGCAAGTGGCCTGGTCTACAATGGGGAGGTTGATTTTCTGCATAAGGGTGGGCAGGTTTTCTTTCGAGGAGGTCCACGTCTCCTTCAGGTTGCCCCAGCCAGTGACCCTCCCTTTGTAACCGGACAGGAATAACCTGGGGAGGGGAGAGAGGGAGATGAGGGAGAGCGAATGGAGAACCCAGACGGCACCGTCCAGCCCCATCTTCTGCAATGTCTCTCCCCCTTGAGCCCGGGCACTCCCCCTCCCATGTCTGGGCCGTACTTTTGGACAACGTCCTTGGAGGGCAGGCAGACTGGGTGGATGTAGTCACTGAAGGTGATGGGCTGTTTTAGTTTCAGCAGGGCGATGTCTCGGTCCAAATTCTCCTTCCAGTTGTATTTGGGATGGATCAGGATTTTCTCCAACTTGGCGATCTTCTCCATGTGACGTTCATACCTGTCCAGAGCCCAGCACGGGGATTCTCAGAGGCTCTTGAGAAGGGAGCCTAGAGCAGGACCTGGGCCTTGTCCTGGTGTCTCAGGGAGAGCCCTATTCCCCGCATGTTGTTTCCTTCTCTTATCTACATCTCCCCTATCAGACTGGGAGCTGCTTGAGGGCAGCTGCGTTTTTTGCCTTTCCTTGTATCCTCTGTGCTCAGCATGGTGCCTGGCACATAATGACCTAATAAGTGCTTGTTGACTTCACTCCTCCCCCTTTCATGAAAGCCCCTCATTTTGGGCATGCGTCCCTTTCTCAGCCTCAATTTCAACCCTTTTTAAAATGAAGGAGTCAGAAGACACAGAATGAGACACAGATTCTCGGACATGACCCAACACGCGGGAATTTGATTTCTTGACGGTGCCAATCTTTCGCATGGGTTTTGTTTTCTTTTTCCCAGTGGGGTAGAGGGGAGGTAGGAGAGAGAGAAAACGAATGCTTCTTAATTAAACAATAGGTAAAAAAAAGCAAAATTTAAAAATAAATTCATAAACCTGGGGCAAAGCCCCAGTCAGCCGTTCCTAAAATTAACTGATTGAATGACAGAGCTAGAACCTTGGCTTCCCAGAGCTGAGATGGAAGCAGGGGGCCGCCCCTCCTCAGAGAGCACCTGCTGAGGCTGGCATTGCCAGAGGTGGCCAAGGGCTTGATTTCTTCTGCTTTACTCAACTGCTTTGTCAGAAGGAAGGTGACAGCAGTGTTTCAAACAAGCATCCTCATTTGCTTTTTGAAAATGAGGGGGATTAAGAAAAGGAAAAAGTCAAAGCAGAAAACAAATATAATTTGGGGCCGCTAGGTGGCGCAGTGGGTAGAGCACTGTCCCTGGAGTCAGGAGGGTCTGAGTTCAAATCTAACCTCAGACACATTACACTCACTAGGGGTGTGACTCTGGGTAAGTCACTTAACCCCAATTGCCTCACCAAAAAAAAAAAAGACAATGAGGGGGATGGACTAGATTTTTAAGGGCCATCCCAGCCTTCTATCCTAGGAGCACCATCATCCCTAAGGACCCCAGAGCCCTTGTGAAGCTCTTCTAGGCTCCCATAGTGATAACGAGGGGGTGAGGGTATGAGAAGGGTGCAGAGCAGAATTTGTGGTAACCTGAGAAAGGCCCTTCCCAAGGTTAAGGGCACCCCTTGTGGCTAATCAGTCTTGAAGGCTGGGTGGACATGGCTGGGTCACAGGACCACAGGCTTGGGGCTGGGAGAAGCCTTGGAGGTCTAACCCCCTCACTTGACAGCAGAGGCAGAGACAGGTGTGCTCAGTAGCACTGGAGGGACCACCTGCATCCAGGAGACCTCCGGAGCAATAAACATAACTCCCCTTTCTACCAGGCTTTACAGTAGAGAAGGCAAGTGTTATCCCCACTTGACAGATTAGGAAAACTGAGGCTCTGAATGGCTAAGCAGCTCACAAGCATGGCTAGTGAGCACCTGAGGCAGTATTTGAACCCAGGTCTCCTGAATTCGGGCCCATCTCTCACTCTATTACAGCCTTCCATCAGAACAACCAAAGATAAACCATTCCCCGGTGTCAGACTTCTCCCTGGCTCTCCCTGGGCAAGGCATCTCCCTTCCTAGGAAGGCCACCCACCTATACCTGCCCCTGGCCCCACTCCGTACTTGGAGCGATGGTGTTTTCCTATGCGCACTAGCATGTCTTCCACTGTGAAATTCTTGTCCCAGGGAGGGTAGAAGAGGCAGTGGGCGGCGGTGAGGATCCAGCGGTCACTTATGAGACTGGCTCCACATAGCAGTTCCTGAGGGGTCTTCCGGAAAAGCATCACCTGCCTGGAGACGAAACGGTGCACCAGGAGTCAATCACTGCTACCCTGGGACCTAGAGCCAGGACATTGCCCTTAAAATCCTCCAAAATAGCACATAACACTTACTAGCTGTGTGACCCTGGGCAAGTCACTTAACCCCATTGCCTAGCCAAAAAAAAAAAATCCTCTAAAATATTCAAAACACCATGGGAGGCAGGTGTTAGTATTCTTAGCCCTACTTTACAGATGAAGAAACTGAGGTCGGAAAGATTAAGTTCCTTGCTCATCATCAGACAGGTAATGAGTATCTGAGCCGGAACCTGAACCCCTGTGTTGTGACTGAATCCAGAGAGATCTATTGACTAATCCGTGGTTAACTTATATTCGATCTGGCGGTTAGACGTGATTGAGGAGCGATTCCAAATGGAAGGAGCCGAGGAGACAGCTGGTAGTGAGGTAGAGGAGGCCTTGGGGGAAGACCATCTTTGCAAAAGGCTGAGCAGTGACTGGGAGGAGGAGAGACAGAAGGGGCTGAGTTCGGGTAGATCCTGGGCTGTTAAGGTTAAGGGCACAGGGAGGGGGCTCAGTCATCCAGAAGAGCAGGAAGGGGAGGAGATGGGGAGCCAAGCTGTTCCAGCTCATACTAGGTCTGTTTCAGTCTCCAAGTCAATAAGCATTTATTAAGCACCTACTGTATGTTAGCCATCGTGCCAAGTGCTGTGGGGTTTATAGGCCACTCTGGGTCTGGAAGGGCCTCCTCTGTAGGAGGGGTCACTGAAGCTGTTCTTGGAAGGAATCTAGGGAGTTCTGCAAGGAGGGAATGCATTCCCAGGCATGGAGCACAGCTTTTACAAAGACATGGAAGTAGGAAATAGAATCTCCCAAAAGAGAGAAAGCAAGTAAACCTATAAAGCGGCAGACTGGATTATTTTTTCCTCTTTTTTTCTTCTTTCTTTCTTTTTGGAGGCAATTGGGGTTAAGTGACTTGCCCAGGGTCACACAGCCAGTAAGTGTCTGAGGCTGGATTTGAATTCAGGGTCCTCCTCACTTCAGGGCTGGTGCTTTATCCACTGTGCCACCTAGCCATCCCCAGCAGAATGGATTATTAGATTTAAGGGTGAGTGGTAGGGTGGTGTTGGGAAAAGAGAAGAGAATAATAATAATAATAATAATAATAATAATAACAATAATCATAACAACATTGGGGCATTTATAGGTCACTTTCAGATGAAGTTTGGGGAGAAGTTTGAAGTAGCCATTATGGGGAATCGGGGAGTCTCTGGGGGCAGAGATGAGTGAGGACACAGCCTTCAGGCCCCCTGGCACAGGAAGAAGGGCCCAAGTCTTACCAGGGAGCGGCGCCCAGCTCAGCATCATCCCCATGCACAATGCGCCCGCCAATGTAAGAATCCATCAGTTCCTTCTCACTGTTGTCCTCCAAGCCCTTCTTCTCAAACAGGGGCCGAAGCCCACAGTCTGCAAAGCCAGAGTGAGCCCCGGTCCATGAAGCAGCCAGGCCCCCCCACCTACCGGCCAGCCAGCCCACCCTGTACCAGGCCCTGCTTGGGCCACTCTGCTTCCTTCACCTGCTTCTCCGGCACCAAAGGTCCTTTCACTAAAGAATACTTGGTACTCCTGAAATGTGGTCCGGCCCCCGATGGTCTCTGGCTCTGGCTCCAAGTCTCCATCCACCTCATCCACGGGGCTGTCTGGGGGCAGGACAGGCGGTGCAGGGACACCATGAGCTCCGTGGCCCCCAGACCTCCCTTCCACAGGGTTCACAAAGACAGAGACTTCACTTCCAGTGGCTCACTCAGGGCCTCGCTCACACATATTAGCTGCCTAATGGTTATTGCTGAAGAAGCGGGGCCTAGCCGAGTCCCTGGCTCGCCAGCCCAGGGGAACTCTTGGAATAAATGGGACAGCAACATGGCCATGTGGAAAGTAGGAGATCTGGAGTCAGAGGACCTGGCTGGGCCACTCACTTCCCCTGTGACGTTGGGTTCTAAAGCCTAGTCCTTCCGGCTCTGCCATTCTAGAATCCTATGAATCCTCCCCACCTCCCGCCTTCAGCCAGTCTGCTCACTCTGGGCTGCTCTCCACCTCCGATTTCCCCATCCCTTTCCCCACTTCCCACCTCCCCCAAGCTCCAGAGAGATGCCCATGGGGCCCAGTCTTCTCCCCACAGCCTTGGCTCCCCAAGCCACTCAGAGCATCAGCCTAGGCCCCAGCTCACCGCAGTAGCTGGCCTGGCAGTATTCTGGAGCAATGGGGTTCCCAGCCACAAAGCACCAGAGGCCCTCTTCATCACCATCCGGATTTCGGCAATAGTTCTCATCCAAGGACACAGCAGGGTCAAAACTGTTCTCCTTGAGAAGCGACTTGAGCTGCTCAGAGGCCCAGGGCAGGCAGGGGGCTCCGGACACACTGACAGCAAGGCGTCCTTGGTACTTCTGTCCCTCATCGGGGATGCAAGGCTGTGAGCTCCTTTCTGCCGACAGGTTGGGGTTTCTTGGGGTCAGAGGCGCAGTGAAGCTGTTGTCCTTTCCTGGAGCAATCGGGAAACCAATTCATCAGAGACAATTTCCTGAGAGTCTGTTCTGTGCCCAGCCTCATGGGAAGCACCCAAGATAGGTCAGAGGTCAATGCCTTCATTTTATTGATAATGAATGGGAAGGCAAGATCTTTGTTTGTTTTTTAGGATGGGGGAGACTTGGGTGTGTTTGTAGGCAGCCGTGATGGAGCCAGCAAACTGGGAGATATTGGAGATTGGAGGGGAGAGACTTTTGAAGAAGTCTCTGGTGAGTGTGATCGAGGAATTCCTCCAGCTCTTTTTCGTGTGGGAGGAAGATGGCGGCACTAATCTAGGGTTGGGGTTTCGCAAAGCGCAAGGAGCATCGGAGAGCAGAGGACAGCGTGGAGTGGAGACTGGGAAGAGGAAAAGACTGAAGTTAGAGCAAGGGAGTTAGCCTGAGAAAGGACTGAGCAGAGGGATTACAGGGATTGGTGAAGACCCGGATCAGGTCTGCGGTGGGGTCGGGGTGGCAGCGGCCTAGAGAGAGATGAACTCGTAGGAGGTTGTGACTAGAGAACGGAATCAGGGTCAGGCTTTGGTCGTGGATCGAGGACATTTGTAGGTAATGACAAAATGCGGGACACAGCCTTATCCTTCTTTGTGTGTCCTGGCGAAGACTACAGACCCCATCTCAGAATCGTGTTTTTAAATGTAAGATAAAATACATAGGATTACAAAGGAAACCAATTATATTGAAGTTCGCGTACAAAAACACTTTTTACAAAGTTCACAGACTCCAGGTTAAGAACCTGATCTAGGTAGGGTGTGGCCATCCCAGGGTATGCCTGAGGGGGGTCATCATGGGATACTGACAAATCGGGAGGTCAGTGTGTTTGAGGGCACATTCAGACCTATGTTCACATCCCTGGGGCAGAAGGGCAGAAGTTGGGGAAGTGAGGAAGACAGTGAGCCAGCCACTGAACTCCCAGTCAACATCAGCTGCTGTCATCCAGAGATGGGGGATGGATTTGGAGAGGAAACTTCAGAGGAGAGGATGCTGAGTGGTTGGGGAGAGGGAGAGCCTGGAAACAGCCATGAGGAGCAGGGCGGCTCCGCTTCCTTTCCAGGACCAGCCAGTCTGGACAGGGCGAAGAGCCACCCTCTCTGGGCCTCTGGTGCCTTATGTGCCAGATGAGGGGGTCGGACCAGAGGATTCCAAGGGCTCCCCTGCCTCTGAACCCTATTGATGATGCGTCCCCCAGCAACCCTGCTCCTCCCTCCTCCTCCTACCCCCCCCCCCAGCTGCCCTGGCCTCGCCTCCTGCTCTCGCCCCCTGCTCCTGCTCCTCTGCCTTGGCTTCCTCTCTCTGGGCTCCCCTCCATTCTTTCTAGGCTCACCACAGAGGGGGATGCTGCACTCCTCTCTCCGCAGGGTAGGATCACTGGTGTAGCACCAGGGTCCGGTAGAGCTGCCATCTGGGTTTCGGCAGAAATTTTCCAGGAGGTCAGCATTAGGGTGCGTGGTGGAGTTGAGCCTGAAACAAGAAGGCACTCAGCCCAGAGAGAGGATTGGGGAGCCAGGCTGGGATACAGGACTCAGCTGGGGTACATCCCTGGCCTGATCTCTCTCCATCTGTGGGATTTGGAGGGAGCTGGGGGATGGGAAGGAAACTCACTCTGGCTTGTGCGGGTAGTGACTCCTCCAGAGCTGGCATGGGATCCCAGACTTGGTGATGGAGATGTTCCCCCGGTAATTGGACCCTATGCCCTCTGCACAATTTCCTGCCAAAGACCAGGTCCAGGGAGGGTCACTGAGCCTGGCTCTGCTCTGGTCCCTACTGGGTCCTCTTCAACCCCTAGTATAGCTCCCTGCCCTGTGTATGGCCCTGGCCCCTGCACCAAATTCATAATAATAACAGGTGGTATTTACATCCTGCTTTAAGTTTTGCGGAGTGCTTTACAAACATGATCTCATTAGATTCCCCCAACAAGTCTGCAATTATTATCCCCATTTTACAGTTGAGGAAACTGAGGCAGACAGAGATTAAAGTGATCTGCCCAGGGTCACACAGGTAATGTCTGAGGCTGGATTTGAACTCAGATCTCCCTGACTCCAAGCCCAGAGCCCTGTCTACTTGGACACCTAGCTACCATCTCAGCCCCAGGTCATAGCCCCATATTAATGACACTCCTCCCAGCTTTTGGCATAGCCCCATGCCCTGGACAAAGCTCTGCCCCATGACCAGCACAGCCCTTTACCCTGGGCACAGCTCTCTCCTCCCCCAAACATATTTCACCCCCTGGCCCAGCACCCCATGGTTCTGGTGTGTTCCACTCCTTCTCACCTTCTAGGCAGGCATCAAAGATGACTCTTGAGGTTGTCCTCACAGATTCACAAACTAGGAAAGAGCCAGAAATGTCCATGGGAGCAAGGGGTGAGGTGCTAGCAGGCAGGGGGCCTCTGAGTCTCCACTGGCTTTGGGTAGGTCACAAGCTGGCCCCCTAAGCACCTGAGACCCAGAAAGACCTGAGATACCTGGGGCATTTGCTGCAGGCCCAGGGCTAGGATTGAAAGGGAACAGGGTGGGCTGGATGGATGAAAGGTCAGAAGATTCCTGCTTGTGACCAGGAAGGTCCTGGGCTAAGCGTCCGCCATCCCACCCCTGCCCATATTACTCACATTTGTACTTGGTCCAGAATGTATCCTGTAAAGATAAAGGCCGGTGTTGAAGGGCTGGGACCACCTGCAGGCCACTGATCCCCTCTCCTTGCCTTTAGTCCTCCTCCCCTGATGCTCTGTCTGGGCCTGCTTCACTTGGGCCTCCCTGCAGCTCCCCTGGTCCCTTCTCACCGTGGCTGCTGTGGACTCCAGAGCCTCGAATGCCTCTTCGTAGCTGCACTGTTCCTCTAGACACTCCCGCTCTAGGTTTCCTGCTCTCATTTCCTCCAGGAGGCCCCTGTTGGCCCGCCGGACCCTCTGGAGCACAGACAGTGCCTGCTGCTGGTTTAGGAACACTGTATAGGGAGGTGAGGAAGGGGAGGTGTGGAGTGTGAGCCTGTAGCCCCCAACAGGGCAGGGCCAGCCCAGAGAGGCCCAAACCTAAGCCTGCTTTCGGGAGGGCCCTCATTGGAGGTCAGAGGGGCGGGAGAGGACAGTCGGAATCAGAGGATTTAGCTCTCTGAGGTCCCTGCCCACTCGCTCTACAGACAAGGAATCTTGGAGAGCTAAGGGTACCTGAACCAGGACACCACAGCTGGCAGGTAGCAGAGCCAGGATTGGAACCCAGTGCTAAAGAACACAGGGCTTAGTCCTCCAGCTCGCCTCTCTTTCTCCAGCTTGTCTCTGGAGGGTGACAAAGACAAACCTCCTGACCCCTTCCGTCCCAGAGACCCCTAATGCCTCTCCCCAACAAAACCACCCTTTGCCCACATTCCTCTTCTGTCTCTTCTCCCTTCAGATGGAAACCACCAATCTCTCTTGATCTCTGATGTTTACTGCGGGTCCTCTCGGTAGTGTCTATGTCACCTTCCTTTGGTGTTCCTGACCCCATTCCCCCGGCTGGACCCCAAAGAGTGTTCTAAGGGCCGTAGTGTTTGGGTCCTTACCATGTTCACAGTGGGCAAGAGATACCAAGACTCCTAGGGTCAGGTAGCTTTGTAGGGTCAGGCCCTGAACACCCATCATGGTGACCGTGGAGAAGCTGTGGACGTAGGGATCACAGGCAGGCCGATCTGGCCCCTGCAGGTTAATGTTGAACCAGCATGAAGAAATCAGAAAGAAGGGGTCAGCGGGTCAGGGCTGGAGGGACAGCGGCTGCTTCTGCCCAACCCCACTTTTGGCTTCTGATCTTGGCTAGGAAAAACCCAGGAGTTATGTGCTCGGGGGCACATCATCCTGGGCAATGATGCCTGTTGTGTTGGGCTCCTGTCTCGACCCAACGAGAGAGCAGTGGACCAGAGGTCTGACTGTAAAGGGACAGGGACTTTTGTCCCTGGGTACTGGCTGTGGGACGTGGCGAGAGTCACTGCACTGTCTGCTCCCTTGTCTGAAAAACCAGGCTATTGAGGCCTCTGCTGCCTATGTCTAGGGGGTCACAGAGACCAGAGGATTTGGGCTAGAAAGGACCTTAGAGATGAACCAGTCCTTTGCCCTAATTTTATACATTAGAAGACTGAGGTTAAGGGGTTAAGTGACACATTCAGTGTTATATGGGTGGTAAGAAGCCAAGGCTCCTTTTTTTTTTTTATTCCCAGTGCTTAGCGTAGTGCCTGGCAAACAGTAAGCACTTAAAAAATTCAGGTTGATGGTGATGATGAATACTGGTTTGAACCCCTCTTCTAACACCAAACCTAGTGTTCTTTCAATGGTACCAGAAATAAAAGACTAAAAAGTGTCATAAATAAAAAGTTACTGTACGTGAAACATGGGAGGATTTGTGTGAAGTGAAGCAGAGGAGCACAATATTCACGATGATCATGAGAATACAAATGAAGCAGCACTGAAAGACAGTAGAGCTCACATCAGGGCAATGGCCAATCTTGGTTCCGGAGGAATGATGGTGGAAGGTCACTTTCCCCTCTGGGCTGAGAGCTGGGGGACTACAGGTACGAAATGCTGAACTGGAGCTGAGAGGCAGCAGAATCCTAGATGTAGAACTAGAAAGGCCCTTACAGAAGGGGAAACTGAGGCCCAGAAAAGCCCCATGAGAACCTGGCGCCAGGTGCCTACAAACCCAGAACTATTTTTCACTTTGGTTGGTTTTGATAATCTGGGGGAAGAAAGAGGATGGAATTGAGTGGGCTTGCTTAGATGTTTAACAAACAAAGGGCAACAATAAAGTTTAATCCTCACAATTCCCATTTACAACCAGAAGGTTAACAGTCGTGAATTTTTTGGCCTCCAAGACTCATGGAGACCTTTGTAATCAGCAATGAAATCGTCCATCTTTGGAAGGGATACACAGAACTAAATGAAACAGAAGCTTAGCCAACATGTGCCAGAGAGTGCCCCAAGTAGTAACTTGGCTCCCCTGTGGAAAGAATCACCAGATGCTGGGTCCTTTGCCTACTAGATCACTGGGCTTGGGGCTGGCCAGAACGTCGTGTTCCATTGGCCTCCTGGGCTTCTTTTTGCTCTGACATGGCCCCTCACCCGTCCCCCTGTGGCTGGAGGCTTCTTTCTTTTCTCCCTGGATAGCTGTCCAGACCTTGTTTTCCCTCCACCCTCTCTCTCCTGCTTCCTGTTTGCTGTAGGTAGAGGGTGGGAAGAGTAAATATTAGCCCTGGGCCTGAGGACTGGGGGACAAAGAGCAGTCCACAGGGAATCACAAGCTCTCTTCTGTCTCTCCTGGTCTGTCCTGCTGGGGTCTGGCCTAGGGTCATGTGCCATCTGGGGAGGTCGGTGGGAGGGGGAAGTTAGGGTTGAGGCCAAGGATTCAGTGGAGGGGAATGAGAGAGAAAGGGGAAACCAGGTGTGTCCACTGGCTGACCCAAGCCATGCTACTCCAACCTCAGCAGGGAAACGAGCTTCCCACACAGGGGGAAGGGTGGGGAGGCAGGGCAAGGCCCATAGTCAGTAAGGCTTCTGGCAACTGAGCTTAGATGTTACTTGCTGTAAAATACTAAAATGCTTAGTGCAGAGAGTTGTGAGAAGGGTGCTGGATTGTCAGAGATCCTGGGTTCAAATCTTGGGTCTGTGTGACTTGGGGACAGGTGACTGACTTCACCTCTCCACCTCTAAGTTTCATCTGTAAAATGAGAGGGGTTAGACGAAATGAAGTCTAGGATTTTTATTATTCTATGGCTCACATTGACTCTATCCCTTGTACACACTATGCAATGGGGTCATCTTCTTTTCTGAGTGTACATTTGCTGGAAAATATTTACATGTCTTGTAGGTATCTTTGCTGGAAATAAGACATGGCCCATTTACAGCGACCATGCTGTTTGCCATTTGGATGACCCAGCATTTGTACTTTTAGGAGACTGTGTCTTTCTAGGGCTTGCAGCTAGGTAGCGTCACCAGAATACTGGAGGGATACTTCAGCCAGGGGAAATACAAGGATGGCCAGAACAAATTGACGGGACCTAATTATTAACAATGGAAAGGAAAAAGGAGAGCCGTGCTAAGGGAGAAGGTCTCCTTGACAGGGCCAGGCAAACGTTTCTCCGGAACGTGAAGGCAGTGGGTGTGAGGTTACTGAGGAGAGTTGGGAGTGAGGTGGAGCATGGCCACAGCTTTTCCTGAAATAGCTGTATTAGGGTGACTTTTTTTTTCCCGTCTTTGAGCATGTGGGATTATTGAAAGTGCTGACCTACTCTTAAGCTCCGAATTCAATTCTGAGTGCAGCTCACTGTCTTATCTGTAGTGCCACCTAATACACACACACACACACACACACACACATCTATATCTATCTATCTATCTATCTATATGTATACATACATATTGGTGCTGCTCAGTCTTGTCTGACTCTTCCTGACCCCATTGGGGTTTTCTTGGCAAAGACACTAGAGTGGTTTGCTATTTCCTTCTCCAGCTCATTTGACAGATGAGGAAACTTAGCTAAACAAGGTTAAATGACTTGCCCAGGGACACACAGCTAGTAAGTGTCTAAGGCCAGATTTGAACTCAGGAAGTCTTCCTGACTCCAGACCTGGCACTCTATCCACTGTACCACTTAGCTGCGTGCACACACACACACACACACACACACACACACACCCCAATATACACACTGATGAAATAATTCAAGAGGCTATCTACCCAATTATGAGCCTGGACATTTTTCATTCAGTTAGTGTTTTCTGTGTGCTTTGTTAATCCAAAATATTTTGCATTTTGTGCATCCATTGAGGAAGCTCTAGTATTCTGGAATTTTATATGTATATATACATATTCATATGTACACATACATATCTGCATTTATCTATCTATCCATATGTACATATGATCAGCATAATGTCACCCATAGACAGGTGGAGCAGCCTCCAAATGGGGAGTCCCACCTATGGGGAATCCCTCTTCCATTTGGATCCTATGATAAACATCCTCCGTGGCAGTTGCACACAGCCTGGGCACATGGTATACATCTCCCTGGATTTATGTTTTGCTTATTAGTGATAACCAGAAAAATATTAAACAAAGCTTTTTTGTATTTATCAAGAAATCTTATATGCTCTTAATATATTCATGGGACACAACTTACTGGAGGAGATCCAGTGAAGGCTTCACTTTGCTCCACAGAATTCAATATTTTTGAAATCAACAGTTAATACTAGGGGATCTTATCTTTACTACACTTCTCGATTTTTTTGTGTGTGAAGATTTAATTCAAATAAGCCTTTCTTACAACCCTAGTATGTGCTGGCACTAGAAGTATACTGCAGAAAACTGTTAGGAAAGACCACCCATTCCCTTCTCCCATTTTCATCAAAGATCATCTTGATATATGTACAGATCAGTCTTCAGGATTTTATAGAGATCAAAAGTAGGAATATGGATGGTTATTAATGGTGTCTTGACCTTCCTTTCTGGTAATGCTCTGTGTGACTTCTCCCATTTGTTTAGTATCTTCCCCTCGTTCCAACGTCTTGAAAATCAATCCCTTAAAGGCTTCAAAACTGTACGGCCATAAGCATAGATTCCTTCTGTGTGTACACGGTCAGCACCAGATGTTCTCTATGGCTTCCTATACTTCAGCACCGTGTCACTTACTCATGTGGCACACTGGAGAATAAGGGGTTAAAGAGTCCAAATAATACTGCCATGGAAATGCTGAAAGAGATAGGCTCTATTTTTTGTCTCTTGTCCTCATTCCTATCTATAAATACTCTTGCAAAGATCTGGCTTAGTCGGGTCTCATGCCAACTTTTCTACAGACTTATTTTTCTCTTCCCTCATTTTATGAGGCAACAGAGCTCTTAATCTTCCACCATTTTTTCTCCATCGTTTTCCAAGTGGCCTGTGTTTGGCAATATCAAGCATTTTCTGGATAAGGCACTTCCTGGACTCTTCACCTAATTGAGATGATAATTTTTTACCGATTAAACTCTTATAAGGAAACATACGGAATTTGCTTCAAGGTCTTTTCTTTTATCCACTTCTGATTTTCAGTGTCAACAGGCCATCCAGATAGGTCCGGACGAAGCTTCTATAACCGCATGCCAGGCCTTCTCATATTTATTCTTCTGATTCAGTCAGTTTCTACCTTTTAGACAAGTTGTTCTTCCAATGGCAGGCAAACAGCTGATTCTCTAACAACTCCCCACATCAGTAGCCAGGACTATGTCCTAGGCCATCACTGATTCAATTTTGTGGTTGATACTGTTGAGTGCTTTTCCATATCCACTGTCTCTTGACTTATTTTAAAAATTTATTTCATTAATAGTTCCCAATTACATGTAAATTTTTTTTTGTGAGGCAATTGGGGTTAAGTGACTTGTCCAGGGTCACACAGCTAGTAAGTGTCCCGAGTGTTTGGTCTGAGGCTGGGTGTGAACTCAGCTCTTCCTGACTTCAGGGGAAGGCCGGGTGCTCTATCCACTGTGCCACCTAGCTGCCTTTCTTAAGGAAAGTATTCATGATCCATAGGTATGATGCTTGCCAACAGTCAGCCAGCCATTGACCTCTTTGATTTTTTATTCTAGAACCATATTTTCTAGCGTAATTTTGGCCTACCTTTCCTAGGTCCACTTGCACTGAAGCCTTCGCATGCTAAGGCTCATTGAGTTAGTTTGGAGGATCTGATGAAACTTTTTGTAAAATGTCTCTCTCTCTCTTCTCTTTGCGACAGACATTGGTGGGAAAGCTAGAGATATCTCCATGACATTCTTTTTGTTTTCTATTCACCCTGAGCACTGCAAGGCATGACAACTCATTGTCCAGCAAACTAATACTGTCTCTGGGTGCATGGTGAAACCAAACTCACTGGCTTTTATTTGGCTCTTCAGGAAGGCCTGGGAGCCAACCTTCCAATTAGCCGCAATATACTTTTATTTTGGGGTTTCATGGTGAGAATATCAATATTGAAACACTTCAGTTAGGTACGCTAAGTCAAAAATGTGACAAATGCCATCTATATTATATATACACATATATACAAATGTGTTACATATTATAAAACGATGGATACTATAATCAAAAGATGCCGTTAAATTCAGGCACAAGAGGTGGAAACAATTGCAGAACATAGAACATAAAGTTAGAGCTGAAGGAATTTTAGGAAGACAGCATAGTGTAATATGAAAGAGAATCAGGCAGCAGGAGGTAGAAGACCCAGGATCGTGTCCCAGGGATCTATGGTTGGCCCTGGCCTACTTACTGTTTTTATCAGTGACTTGAACAAAGGTGTAGATGTTGTGTTCATCAGATTTGCATATGACACAAAATTAACACATTGGATGATAACCAAGATTCCCAAAGATATTTACAGTGTGGAGGGCCGGGATAAATCTAATCAGATGACGTTATTGGGGTGAATTTGTAAGGTCTTACAATGGGGCATAGATCAGTGTGAGGGAGGCATGGTTAGATAGCAGTTATGACAAAGAGCTGGGAGTTTTAGCAGACTACAAAGTCCACAAAAGTCAACAGTGTGATGCAGCTGCCAAAGAAGCTAACGCGATCCTGGGCCACACGGAGAGACAGAGCTTCCATGAATATGAAGGTGACTCATCTGGAATACTGTGTTCAGTTCTGCACACCAGAGTTAAAGAAGACAGCAACGAGCTACGAAGTGTTCAGAGGAGGGCAACGAAGAGGGGGAAGGGCCTTGAGTCTGTTATGCAAGGATCGGTTGGTTGAAGGAAATGCAAGTGCTACCCTAAAGAAAAGAGTCAGAGGGGAATGGACAATTTTAAGTATGTGAAGGGCCATCATGTGGAGGAGGATAAATTAGGCTGGTTCTATTGGGCCCCAGGGGGCAGAACCAGAGACAATGGGCAGGCATTCATTGCAAAGAAACAAATTTAGTTAGCCTTGGTGTCAGGAAAGACTTGCTGACATTTAGTATTATCCAAAAATGGAATGGGGGTGCTTTGAGAGGTGCTTAGCTCCCCTTTGTTAAGGTCTTCAAGCAGCCATTGGATAACCACTTGATGATAATATAACGCTAAGGATTCCTTTTGGGTAAGGGCTGGACGAGATGGCCACTAACACCCCTTCCAACTCTTCTCCTGCGTAATTTCATGACTTCATGGTTGTGTGTCCTTGGGTAAGTCACTTTACCTTGATGATACTGAATTTCCTCCTCTGTAAACTGAGGTTGGACTAGAGCAGCTGTTCTCAAACTTTCTGGTCTCAGGACCCTTTAACACTCTTAAAAATTGAGGATGTCCCCTTCCCCAAGATTTTATGTGGGTTTTATCTGTTGATATTTATTGTATTAAAAATTAAAGTGTCTTAATGTGACTGTGAAAATAGTTTTGACCTCAAAGGTCTATTGAAAGGGTCTCAGAGACCCCCAAGGATCCCTCGATCACACTATGAAAATCACTAGACTAAATGGTCTTTAAGGTAAGTCCTTTTTGACTCTGAAAGCCCAATAATCTTAGAATTTTTTTGAGCTTTAACTCACTCCTTTGTAAAATGAGGATGAAAATATGAATGCTACCTCCATCACAGGGTTCTTTGTTTTGGTCTGGACCTGGGCTTGTTTGGGAACCTATTGGCATGGAACTTTTTCCACCAATAGAGATCTTTAATAGCTTTTAGAAGGTTGCTGAGGGCACTAAGCTAAAGACTTGTCCATGGTCACACAGCTACCGTGTCATCAGAAACCCGGGCTGACCATCCCATGCTGTCCCTCAGACAACGTACATAAAATGCTTGGCAAATCTTAAACCACTAAATGAATGTAACTTGTTAGCATAGAACATTTGAAGTGAAAGGGCCCCGAGACACCAGCTTGTCCAGCATGCCCTTTTAATTATTTGATTAAAAGTCAGCTCTTTTGACCACAGGTTCAGGGCTCTTTCCACTCCAAAAAAATGAGAACAAATTTCTGTACATATTAATTTGGGTCCCATGGTACTGTATTTTATATCTAATACAAAATACAACTCTGTGATGACTTTGTTCTAAACCTAGCAGATCTGAAACTGAATAATTTTGCTCTCCTTCGAATTTGGAATTTTGTATTATCTGTATAGACTAAGTCTCCTCAAAATGCTGTTCAGGGCGAATTGGAAGGAATACTCTTCCTCTTAAAGAATCTCACTGTAGCAAAGAATTCAAAGTCTCTCCATTGATAAATTCTGGCCCTGTGGCTTCATACTTTGGTGAAAAGGAGCCTGGCCAGAGTGGGGAGGCTCAAGCTCTCGAGCTGGCTGTAGCAGGCTGGCACCATGCCCTTAGCAAAGCCTTCTCCTTTTCAGAGCTTGCTTCTTTCTCTGTACAAGGAGGAAGCTGGCTGAGATCATCTCAAAGCCTGGTTCCAGTTCTAAGCCTAGCTGTCATGATTGGCATCTGCCCTCCTTGTTCACCTTTTCTTCTTTCCTCTGACCAGTAACATGAAGAAAGGCAGCCTGGCGTGGGTTGGAGGGAAGTCAGAGCAGGTGCTGATGTCTATGCACTGACTGAATGCATCTGCACCCCAGCATGCCAGTACAAAGTAAGGGTATTTTTTTTCCAATCCTGTCAGCCTTAGAACCTGTTAAACTCTCCCATGTGCCCTGATTTTGTTTTGTGCTGTTTTGACTAATGGATCTTAAATTCCTAGGGAGGAAGGACTATTTCCTACTTTTTAAAATTCCCTACACAAAGACAGCGTACTAGACCCAAGCAAGCACTCAGTGTATAATACTGCTATCCTCAACTGAGGCTCCATGAGATCCAGGGCTGACCCTCTCTGTGACAGTCTGACCTTCACATTAGCCTCCAATCAAGTTGTCCACTATATCTCTGATCCCCTAAGTTCTCACATTAGGAGCCTCAGTTTACTCATTTATAAAATGAGAATAATTTAACCCACAGGGTTCTTTTGGAGCAAATGCCAGTGCATTCAAGATGTTCAATTAACCTTTATATAAACACCAGCTATTATTAACATCTGGCCCCTTCCAAAATAGTGTCCCACCAAAAATAACAGCTAAAATTTAGAGAGCACCTGATACACACTATCTCATTTATTCCTAACACAGTTATTATCCCCATTATGCAGCTAAGGAAAATGAAGGCTCACAGAGATCAGTGACTTGTCCAGGGTCACACCACTAGTGTCTGAGGCAAGATTGGAACCCAGGCTTTCCTCCCTCCAATTCCACCAAGCTGTTGTTCAGTCTGTGTTCTTGTATAACAAAAAACAGGAACCATTTCTGCCTTTCTTTGTATCCCCACCATGGAGTACACTGCCTGGCACAGAACAGGTGCTTAATTCACATTTGCTGACTGCCTGAAGCCAGCTGGCTTATTCCCTTGGGATCTGATGAGCTAAGAAAGGACATCACATGACCTCTATTCCTGATGGGGAAGTGCCTGACTCTGGCCTCTAAGAGGCTGAATGCTGTTCCCACCTTTCCATTCTCCCAGCAGAGATTCCCAAGCCTCCCTGGTGAGAGGGAGGGACTGGTTCACAAGCCTCACATGGGAAGCTTCTGTCTCATCTGAGGCTCAGTTCACAGGCCAGGTGCGCAGAGACACCTGACACTCCGCTGAGCCTCTGGGAATAACTGGGCTCAGAGCAGATAACAACTCCCACCAGCAGACGACCAGGAGCTTTCCCAAGGCTGGCCAAGGTCCTGCCCAGGGAGGGACATTTGACCTTCTCCTTCTGCTTCCAGTTGGACAAATACAAAGAATGGGTCCAGGGAGACACTAGAGACAAGCAGCTAGAAAACAGACATCTTTATATGTAAGATGGGATTTTGTGGAAGGGCCAGCTGGGATGTCAGGGGGCCCGTCTCTACTTCCGCCACCTCAGCCACAGTGCTGAACCCCCCCCCCCACTCTCTTGAATGACCAGGCTGTGCCCGGGGCCTGACTCTTCCTGAGCCACAAGGCATCTGTCCTCACTCTCTGAAATGGTGACTTCCATGACATCCGCTGGGTGAGAAGCTGGGGTGGGGGAGGAATCCCCTTCGCTTGGGGTGACTCGCAGCTCCATCTCTGCCCGGAGCAGCGCCATGGCGGGCTTGGCTGGGGCAGGGGTGCAGCTGCTGGTGGTCTTACTCTGATGGCTGAGCTGGTGCCTTTGGAGACTCCGCAGCAGGGTGAAGCCCACGCCACAGGTTGGGCAGTGGAAAGGCTTGGCTGCCAGATGAGACTCGAGGTGGCGTCGCAGCTTGGTGGCCAGAGCGTATGCCGGCCACACTGCGGGCAGGAAAAGGGCTTTTCACCAGAGCGCAGGTGTTCGTGAGCTTGGAGTGTGTGGGGATCCCACAGGGCTCTGCTGCACGCTGGGCAGAGATGGGCCTCGCCTGTGTGAGACATGAGATGTCCCCGCAGCTCCGGCAGCTGGGGAAAGGCATCCGCGCAGTGGGGGCAGCAGTAGGGCCGCTCGCCAGTGTGAAGGCGCAGGTGTCCCCTCAGGTTGCCATGCTGGCGGAAGGCCTGGCCACAATGGGGGCACAGGAAGGGCTTCTCTTCCGTGTGGAGGTGCATGTGGTTGTGCAGGGAGCCTCGGTTGGCCGGGGGGTGTCCGCAGATGGGGCAGGGGCATGGGGTGGGGACAGCAGGCACGCGGTGGGCCTTGTGATGGAGCTGTAAGGAAGACCATCGGGTGAAGGCCTTCCCACACTGGTCACATGTGAAGGGGCGGGCACCCAAGTGTACCACCTGGTGCTCAGGTAGGTCTCACTGGGGGCAGGGGAAGGGCTGCACTCCCTGATGTCCCAGGACGTGGGCCTCGAAGCTCTCCTCAGAGCTGTAGCTCTTGCCACATTCTGTGCACAGGAATGGCTTGTGCCCAGCATGCATAAACTGGTGCTTCTTCAGGTGGCAGAGCTGCAGGAAGGCCTTGCGGCACACGGCACAACATTAGGGCCTCCAGAGGGGCTGGGCAGTGCCCTTTGGGCTCCTCCTGTCTCTGGGAGGCTTGGTGAAGCCCCAAGGCTCTGTCTCTCCATTCTGGTGGTCTTGGGGAGACAAGCTCTTGACGCCAGAGAAACTCTCACTCCCAGGGCCAAATAGCTTACAAGATCAGTTAGCCAAGCGGGGGCTGAGCCAGGGGCCCCTACCACGAGGCATGGGTGAGGAGGCCATGTCACTGGAGCTTGGGCTCTCTGGACCTACAGATGGGTTGCTCCGGGACAGCTGTAACCCCTCTCCGGGGCTGTCTGACAGAGGGACTGTTTTTCCTTCACTCTCCTCCTCCTCCTCCCCCCCTTCCTCCTCAATGTGCTCCTGGGGCTCTGGGGAACAACAAGGGCCTGTGGGAATCTCTCCCTGGGTTTCAAGTCCAAACTGGGGGCTCTGTTTTGCTGCTCCTTCGATGGCAGGGTCCCACTGGGGAGAGATGGCTGAAAGGGAAGGGGAGGAGAGTAGGGTCAGCACAAAACAAGATATGTCCCACCCAGCCTGGCTCCCTGGGTGAGGCAATGACAGGCATCTTCTCTGGGGAATGGACTGACGGGAAGATGCTGCTCCAGACATCCCAGGGGAGTCACAAACTTCTCCTAACCCACCAAGTTTGAACGCTTCACTTAGGTAGTGACAACTCACACCAAGAAGGAGCTTTAAACATGACTGCACATATATAACTTCTATCAAATTACTTGCCATCTTAGGGAGAGGGAAGGTGAGAGAGGGAGAAAATTTGGAACTCAAAAATTTTTGAAAATGAATGTTAAAAATTGTCTTTACATGCAATTGGGAAAAAATAAAATACTCTTTAAAAAAATTTTAAAGTTTAGAAGGTACTTTTCTCACAGCCATCTGTTAAGTTAGAGGATATAAAGACTGGGACCCCTGTCTTAAAGCTGACGAAGCTGAATTTCAGACAGGTGGACTGACTCACCTTTGGATTTTAAGGGAGGGGAAAGGGAATGAGCATTTATTAAGTGCCTACCATGTACCAGGCATTGGGCTAAGAGATTTACAGTCTCACTGGACCCTCACTACAGCCCTGGGGGGTAGGGCCTGTTATTATCTCCATTTTACATCTAAGGAAATTGAGGCAGGTAGAGGTTAGGTGACAAGTCCAGGGTCCCACTGCTAGGCAGTGTCTGAGGCAAGATTTGCACTCAGGTTCTCCTGACACTGGGCCCAGTGCTTTGTGTATTTTGGGGCCCTTTGGTATCCCTTGTCTCTCCTCTGCTTCAACACCTCTTATTGGGATCAGGGCTGGGCCCTTCTGGAGCAGCCCACACTGGCAAGGGTTAGTCTCTGGGTGGCCCCCATGGCATAAGGACTGTGGGCCACTTTCAGGCTGTCCCCATCAAAAGCACACCTGTGCACAGCTTGGTAGCATGCCCTCCAGGAGACACCCCGTTGGTTTGCTCTTCACTCGCGTGTCGTGGCATCACCTCCCTGACCTCATGGGCCTCTTTGTGAACGGAGCACAGACACAACAGTGCTTGGTACATTTTTGCTGATGTTCAGTTGCATCTGACTCTTCATGACCCCATTTGGAATTTTCTTGGCAAAGATACTGGATTAGTTTGCCATTTCCTTCTCCAGCTCAAAGATGAGGAAACTGAGGCAAACAGGGTGAAGTGACTTGCCCAGGGTCAGACAGCTAGGAAGCAGCTAAGGCCAGATTGGAACTGAGGTTCTCAGGACACCAGGCTTATGCACTACACTACATTCCTGCCCATTGTGACTGCTTTTTCATTCATTAATTCATTGTTATTGATTCAAATGTGACATTCCCAAAGTAGAATGTAAACTCCTGAGGGTAAAGACTCTAGTTTTCGTCTTAGAAAGACCTGATTTCAATTCCTGCTTCAGACACTCCCTGACTGTGTGAACCTGGGCAAGTCTGGGCCGGTTTCCTCATCTGCAAATAAAGCCAATAATAATAACACCTCCCCACCCAGGGTGGTTGTGAAGACCGAATCAGGTTAACAGATATAAACTGCTTTATAAGTCCTAGCTGGCACACAGTAGGCACTTTGCAAATGCTTGTTAATTGACTGAGAGTTCGAAAAGCTCTCTTTTCTGCTGTTTTTGAAAAATCTGTACATTTGCCCTTGCCCAGTCTGTGTGGGGTTCTTTGGCTAGAAGGAATCTCTTCCCCCTCAAGTCTTCCGCAGCATCCCTTTAAGACTCCTCTCTTTCACATTTATCCCGTCCTGGACTAAACTGGAAGCTTTCAGAGAATTGGGTCAGTCTCGTCTATCTAGCAGGGACCCGGCTTGCCTCAGAGTAGATGCTTGGTCCGTGTTTTCCCAGTTTATTTAGTTAACAATACTTACTGAGCCGCTACTCTGTGCAGAGCACTGTCCCGGGTGTGAGAAGAAAGACGAGTCCAGAAATGGCACCCCCAGGCACACACGGAGTTCAATGGACATTGTAATATGAGGTAACTACAAGAAACGCTATCGAGTGACAAGACCATTAGAGGTAAGAGCGCTTCGGAAAAAAAAAAGCACTGATGAGTCAAATAGCAATCCATCCATCCATCAGAAGTTACTCATTTATTAGACACCTGAACTGCGCTGGGAATTAAGGGCGCAAAAGAGTGAAATCAAACCAGTCGCTGCGCTCAGGAAGCTCACGTTCTCCCTGCGAAGTGCATGACCTGCCAGAGAGGGTCAGAGACAGGCTGCAACACACCCGGGTCTCCTTCGCTCATCTAGTCTGTGGTCTGCGGCTTTTCGGACTCAGTTTAGAGAAGAGGCGGAGGCCTCGGGATCCTCTTCAGGGGAGAGCGGTGCTATTCGAGCACCCCACTGGACAGATGGGGAGAGCGAGGCACGTCCACAGGTGGTCAGGAGACTTAGGGGAAAACCCGGTTTATCGGAGAAGAAAGGAGCGCGCGGGGGATCCCGAAGCGCTCAGTCCACTGAGCGTGGCCGGGAGGGGCAAGGCCGGCAAAGCCGCCTCCCTGCCCTGGGGAACCTCGGGTCTAGACTGAGGAGAGGGGAGGGTCCCTGTCCGCAGAAGCCGCTGCCCCGCCTGGCACAGACCCCCCAGGACAAGCGGGCTCCGGGTCCGTGTGGACAAGTTCAGGGAACCCTGGACAGCACAGGGCGGTGACTTGTTCGGGGTCGCACAGCTGGGATTTGAACCCAGGGCTTCCCATGACCCAGGGAGGGGCGACGGGCCCGGGAGCGCTGGCGGCATTTTACGGAGGAGGAAACTGAGGCCCGTGGCCCTCGGCCCCCGCCCCGCCGCCTTCCGTACCTCCTGCGGAGGCCGGGGCCGGGGCTGGGGTCCGAGCCCGGCCGCCAGCCCCTCCAGGGCCCACAGAGCAGCCCGGGCCGCGACCCTGAGGCGCCCGACGGGCCCAGGGCCAGGCCGCGGGGGAGGCTGCGCGGGGGCAGGGCCAGGGCGGCGGCCGGGGGGGCCAGGGTGGGCGCGGGGAGCCCCGACCCCCGGCCCCGAGCTCGCCCACGCCGCCGCCGCCGAGCCCCAGCGGCCGAACAGACCCGCTTCCGCCGCCGGCGGAAGTGAGAGCCGCCCGCGCTGCTCCCCCCGGAAACTCGCGCCCGCTCCTCGGGTTCCGCCTCTGCAGGTCTCCTGGAGAGCTGCGGGAAAGCTCTGCCTTTTACAGCTGGGGAAACTGAGGCAGGCGGGGGTTAGGTGACTCATCCAGGGTCACACCGCTAGCGAGCGTCTGAGGTTGCATTTGGCAGGTGTCCCGGTGCTCTGCCCACTGCACCACCCAGCTGATTGTCATCGTAATAGAATGATCATCATTGTAGTGGGAGGCAGCCGGTGCGTGCAGAGCGGTCCTCAGGGATGTCAGAAATCTCAGTCCAACTTCTTCATTTAACAACAGGGGAAACTGACGCCAGAAGAGACGAGGGGGGCAGGCATGAGTGAAGAGGATTCTCTGGACCTGGCAGCAGGAAGCGCTGGGGTCACGTCCCTGTTAGATTGGAAGCTCCTTGAGGGCACGGACTAGCTCCTTACGTATCTCCAACGCTTTGCACAGTTCCTGGCACACAGAAGGCGTTTAATACATGCTTATTGACTGACCGCCTCTGACGCATCTTGAACTGGTGAATCTGGGGAGGATGCAGTGCCCCCAGCAGGTCTCAGACCACTGGGGAAGACGGTGGCAATCTCTGCTGAGGGAGGGAGTGTGCTCCCTGGGAGATCCCTTCATAATAATGGTGATGATAACAGTAATAGTAACCAGCGTTTACACAGCACTTGAAGGTTGACAAAGATACTGCCTCATTTTATCCTTTCATTCCTTCATTGAATAAACATATATTGTTGCTCAGTTCAGCCTCTTCATGACTCCATGGCCCGTACTGTCCATGGGGTTTTCTTGGCAAAGACACTGGAGTGATTTGTCATTTCCTTCTCCAGCCTCATTTTACAGATGAGGAAACTGAGGCAAGTGGGATTAAGTGACTTGCCCAAGGTCACACAGCTAGGAAGTGTCTGGGGCCAGATTTGAACTCAGGAAGAGGGGTCTTCTTGACTCCAGGCCTGGACTTTATCCACTGCCCCTCCAGGTGCTCCTATTCCTGGGATAGCAGGTGCATAAGAAATACATGCGTGTTGACCAACCAACGAGACATGGTTTTTTCTTTAAAATTTTTAAAAAATATTTTATTTTTCCCTAATTACATGTAAAAAACAAATTTTAACATTCATTTAAAATTTTTTTGACTTCCAGATTCTTTCCCCCGTCTCTTCTCGCCTTCTCCCTCCCAGAAGGCAAGCAATTTTATATAAATTATGCATGTACAGTCATGCAAAACATATTTCCAAGTTAGTCATATTGTGAAAGAAGACAGACCAAAAAAAAAACAGCCAAGAAAAATAAAGGAAAGAAAAAGCATGCTTTGATGCGCATTCAGACTTCATCAGTTCTTTCTCTTGAGATGGATAGCATTTTTCATCTTAAGTCCTTCAGAACTGTCTTGGAGCACTGTGTTGCTGAGAATTGCCAAATCATTCACAATATTGTCCTTTCTGTATACAATGTTCTGGTTCTACCCATCTCACTTTGCATCAGTTCATGTAAGTCTTTCCAGGTTTTTCTGAGAGTATCCTGCTCCTCGTTTCTTATAGCATAATAGTATTCCATCACAATCATATACCACAACTTGCTCAGCCATTCCCCAGTTGATGGGCATCCCCTCAATTTCCAATTCTTTGCCACCACTAAAAGAGCTGCCGTAAATATTTTTGTACATATAGGGACTTTCCCCCCCCCCCAATCTACTTGGGATATAGACCTAGGAGTGGTATTGCTTGGTCAAAGGGTGTGCATGGTTTTATAGCTCTTCACTATTTCAAATTCCTCTACAGAATGTTTGAACTAGTGTCTAACTTCACCAACAGTGCATTAGGGTCTCAGTTTTCCCACATCCACTCCAACGTTTGTCATTTTCCTTTTCTGTCATAATTAGCCAACCTGGTGGGTACTCAGAGTTAATTTTCATTTCTCTAATCAATAGTGATTTAGAGCATTTTTTCATATCATTATAGCTTTTATCATATCCTTTGGCCATTTATCAGTTGAGGAATGACTTTAATTTCTACAAATTTGACCCAGTTCTTTGTATAGTTGAGAAATTGATCTTTATCTGAGACTTGCTATAATTTTTTTCACAGTTATGATTACTGCGTATTTCCCTCCATCCTATTTTCCCAGTTTACTCTATTCTCTCTCTCCTTTCACCCTGTCCATTCTCAAGCGTTTTGCTTCTGACTTTACCTCCCTCTGTCAGCCCCACGACCCCTTCTTATCCCCCTTCTCCTCCTACTTCCCTGTGGGTTAATTTTATTTTTTTAGATAATCATCCCATCATATTCAGCTCACACCCTGTATATTTCTTTTAAGTGTCCTAATAAGGAGAAAGTTCTTAGGAGTTACAAGTATCTTCCCATGTAGAAATGCAAACAGTTTAACTTATTAAGTCCCTTACGATTTTTCTTTCCCGTTTCACCTTTTTATGATACTCCTGAAAGTCTCTATTTTGTTCTTTCAGCTAGTGTATATGTCCGAGACTGGATTTGAACTGAGGTCCTCCTGACTCCAGGGCCCATTCTCTAGCCACTGCGCCACCTAGCGGTCCGTGTTTTTTTTTTGTTTTGTTTTTTTGAGCCTCTATTTCTGAAACACTCAAGCGCACAGAGCGTAGGCCTCCGCAGACCTCCCAGTGAGGGCGGAACCCTATTTCTCTGCCTCTCTTCCTCGGAGAGGAACCGGAAGTAATGGTAAGGGACAGTGGAGGGCACAAAGCGGAAGCGCCGGCCCGGAGCCCCTGGAAGCGGCCATGTTTGTTCGTGGCAGCAGAGCGGAAGTGGGTGCGCGGCGGGGCGGAAGTGGCGGGGCGGTGGCTCCTGTGGGTGTGGGTCTGGGTGAGTGTGCCTGCGGGGGAGGGGGGCGGCAATCCTCCCTCCCGAGCTCCCTCCCCCACCCCGTGCGTCCGCTTCCGAGCCGGATGTTGGCGGAGCTTTGACAGGAGGAGGTGGCGGCAGAGGCAGCTTCGGCAGCGGCGGTGAGCGGGGCCGGGGCCGCGCGGGGGAGGGGAGGGAATCGGGACCCCGACCTCGAGAAGAGGAGCAGGCCCCGCGGCTGCAGCTCTCCACCCCCCCCCCGCCCTCCCCGGCTGGGACCGTTGTACAGATGGGGAAACTGAGGCTCGCGGATGGAAGTCTCCAGTGCGCCGTGAGCGTGGACGAATGGCCCCTGCCCCCCTCTCCGGGCCTCAGTTTTCTCCTCTGTACGAAGCAGTGGGTGTCCGCGAGAGCTGGGGCCAGGAGGAATCCTCAGCCCCGGGCTCTCTGTCAGTGTGGCCTTGGGCAAGTCAGTTAACCTTTCGGTGCCTCAGTTTCCTCTTCTGTAAAATCCCCCCCTCCACTCCCCTGAGGCGTAACCCTGGACGAGTCACTTCCCCTTTCTGAGCCTCAGTTTCCTCCCCTGGGGGGGGGCTATATAATAGCACCTCCCTAACATTATGATTGTAAACCTCGTTCAATCAATAAGCATTTATTAAGCTGCTCTGGGGCCTCAGAGGGGGTTGGACAGGTGGCCCCTGCACTTCCTTCCAGCTGTAGATCTGCGGTGCTACTGTGTGCGGGGCGTCGTGCAGATGAGATGAACTATATCAAGTGCTCTGCAGCTCTTGCGGGGCCACGGACGGTCCGGTGTTCTCTTTGTTATCTGTAACACCGGGGAGTTGGTCTGTGCTGTTGATTCCAGCGCTCCACAAGCATTAGTTGAGTAGGCACTGGGAACACAAATACGAAAAGTGACATAATCCCCGCCCCTGAGGGCTTTAACTCCTCCAGCGGGCTTGGCGTGTACACAGCTGTAAATACAGCCACGTTGGCTGTCTTCCCCAACGCCCCTTGCACGTCCCAGTTTTGGTAAGTGTCTGTACCCATCTTCATTTAGCAGTGGGGCAGAATAGCATCCTAAAACATCTGGAGACCAAAGTATAGGCATCCTTTGATCCTGTGCTTAATAAACGTTTGTTTAATTTATAGTTTAGTATAAAATAACTTTGCCAGTGTTACTTGGCTACTAATTATCAGACCTGGGAGTCAAATGCAGATCACGGGGCTCCAAGTGATAGCGTCTAGAAGTGGAAAGAGCCTTAGGGACTCTGTACTCCAACTCCCTCATCTTACAGATGAGAAAACTTGAGAACTACCCCCCTCAGATGAAGTGGGGGTCTCACAGCTCATAAGCAGCAAGGCCAGGCTTCATACCTAGGCCCCCTGACTTCAAATCCAATGCTGTTTATTAGAGAAGCTGAGGTGGGGCGAGGTGGGGCCAGGCCTAGGGTCAGGTGTTCATCATTTGGGTTCAAAGGCTGTTGGACAGAGCCTGGGCTGAGGCCAGGTAGGGGCTGGACTGGGTCTCTGTGGGTGGAGGAACCTGTTAGCCCAGCAGGATCGAGTCTTTGTCAGGTTTCCTTCTGGGCCCGTAGCCAGTATACCTATCTTCAGCTCTTCTTTTCCCTCTTTTCTTCCTGGGGGAATAGGCCCTGCCAGGCTGGGGTTTTTGTAGATTGTCCCAGGTGAGTTTGCTATCATAATCTCAGATGGTAGATAAAGGAGACTTCCCTGGTATGGGGCATGTCAAAAGGAAGTTACCCAGGAGTGCTTTAATTCTGAGCTGGCACCCAGAGATGAGAGACATTCAAGTTCAAAGTAGCACCACCCAAAAAACTCTCCAAAAAACCAAACAACAACCAAAAAAAATCCAAAGTAACACCACCCCATTTATCTTGTAGCAGTAAAGAGAGACAACAATTTCAGTTATAAGTGGGAGTGGCCTGGTAGAGGACAGTCACTAGGTGAGCTCCCTGAAAACCCTAGGGCTTGCACAACTTCCTTCCTTACCCTCTTCAGGGTCAGGATAATCCACCTTGTCCAAGCCTGTGTCTGGGCTCCTGACTTGACTCATGGAGTTGAACTGTTAAGCATTCTTTGATGGGTAAAGGCTCAGATTAACGCCAGGTACCCCCATGCACACTTTGGGGTGGCACCATGCAAAAGTCCCATTATCTCTGCCCTTTTGTTTTACCCCAAGGAGTTGCATTGGTGATTTTTTCTCCAGAGAGGAAGAAGTCGAATCTTTGAGTGGGAAGTGCCTTGCACAGAGTCAGGCAGGACAGAGCCCTTCCAAATCAGGGTCTGGGAGCCAGCTTAGGCTGGAAATCCCCTGGGCCAGTAGGATGCATCCTCTCCTTACCTCTTTGATGGGAGAGCTTGGGAGCAGCTTTCTGTGATTGGGGTGAATTTGTTGGCTATAGTTCAGAGGCGCTGACAGCGGTCAGCCAGGAAGGGCGGCTGCAGTCAGGAAGTGAAAGCTGTGGAGTTGCAGAAAGGCGGTGAAATTTCAAGTTCAGTCCTTCTTTCAGATATTGGCCTCCTTCCTCCCTTACTTGAGCTCCAAGCTGCCCTGTCCTTTGGTTCAGAGCTGAACAGATATTTTAGAGCTCACGTAGCTCTTTATTTCACCCATGGTAAAACTGAGGCCCAGTGGGCCCACTGGCAGATCTGGGGCTGCTCAGTGTGGAGTCAGCAGAGCATCTGGCGTGGGTCTCCTCTAGCAACTGCCCTCTCCAGTGCCTCTTCCTCCTTGTGCCCCTGAGACACAAAAGTGTGAGCAGTGGAATTCTCCAGGGAAGGGCCTGCATGGCATGGAGTGGGCACGAGGAAAGCAGTGTGGTGTAGTGGTATGGAGTCAGAAGTCTTGAGTTTGAAGCGTGGCTCGGCTCCACTTACTAGTGGTGGGACCAGCAAGTCACTCTCTCCAGATGGAAAAAAAGGCCAAGGTCTCCTGCTGCATCCTTGGCCATCTCCAGTCGTCCCGATTTATATCTTGCCATTGGGCCCAGATGGCTCTGGAGGAGAGAGTGAGGCTGGTGACTTGGCACAGCCCTCCCTCACTTAAATCCAGTTCGTGTGCAAGTCGTGACATCACCTCCCTGAACAACAACTCTCCAGCTACGCCTCAATTCCCTCCTAGGAATTGGAGCATCCAGAGATCCAGTGGACTGCTCTGTAGAGGCCTTAGCGAAGGCTGAACTGCTGACCCGGAGAGTTTCAAAGACTTGGGTCTGATTCCTAGCTCTGCCCTTTCAGACCCCTGTGAGCTCAGGCAGGTCTCTTCCCTTCTCTGGGCCTCAGCTTCCTCATCTATAAAATGAGGCCTTTGGCCTAGATGATCCCAAAGGTCCTTCTAGCTATCCATCTCTGCCCCTGTATTATGGGGAAGGCTCCTGAACGGTGTGATTTGGGCTTTAGAGCCTCTGACGTCCCTGCTAACTTGGTATGAAATCAGGTGGGCTTGGGCCATGTGATTTCATGGCCCTCCTAACATTTTTTGATTCTGTAGCAGTATTTTTGGAAAGTAGGGGAGTCACATTGTGGGGTGAGGTATGCCTCTATTGAACAGACATCCTGGATTTTCCAAGAGGGTCCCAATTACAAACATTCAAGACTGTTGCCCTCATAAATCCTGGAAACGTCCTAGAGTGTCCAGTAGTCACAAGGTCCTCCAGGAGTTCTGTTACCTCATACTTGGCCACTCCTAGATCCCTCCCGTAATCTTTCTGAATATAAGGTTCATCTTGTCTCCATTAAAATGCTCTGATTATTATAATCTAGCCACTGCTCAGATTTTTACAATCTAGCCAATACCTCACAGATGCTCAGATTCCTTAAGAGTCTGGCTAATATGGCAGATCTTCAATAAACCTTGTCTTTGGCTGAAAAAAAAAGTCAAAAGATCACACAGCTACCACTACAAGGGCTTCCTGACATTTTACAGGTGAGGAAACTGAGGCCCATGGAGGTTAAGTGACTGGCCCAAGGCCATACAGCTCTCCCTGGCAGAGCTGGGAATCAGATCTGATCATGTGGCTCGAAGCCGGCTTTCCCCAGAGACATCCTGTTGTCCTTTCCCCCAGGGAGGTCTTGTCATCTAGCCTACACTTGAAGACCTCTAGACAGAGGGAGTCCCCTGTTTTCTGGGGCAGTCCTTTCCATTTTTGAGTCAATAGAATTTTGGGGAATTTTATCACCAGTAAGGAAACTGAGATTCAGCCAGGGAATGACTTTCTGGTTACACCATTTTTAAGTGGCACGGAGCCAAGTGTCAAGCCCAGCACTTCTGAGACCAAGTGCAGGCTCTGTCCACTGTACCACAGCACTGCCTTCCTCAGCCCTGTGCCCCATCAGGCAGGCCCTGGTGGCAGTCGAACCCTGGGCCTCTGACGTCAGGGCCATGGTCTGTGTACGGTACGAAGACTTTCCCAGTGACATTTTAGCAAATAGTAATTGAATGAATCAAGTCAGTGAGCTTAGTAAAACAAAATTATACAAACTACACCAAAAGGAAAGATCCCATCGGCCCAAGAAGGTGTGCTGGGAGTGACGTATGTTAGGTGGCTCATCAGGCAGGGCAGAATCTGGCCTTGATGTAGCCCAGGAGCATGAGCCAGGTTGGCTAATATTAATCTTCCTGCTATGGGACAGGAAAGCAAAGCTGAATGATGTCCTGATTTATGATTGGTAAAATAGTCTGCCTTCAAAAGAAAAAGCAATTCATATTCATGCTTGAGGTTTAAGCACCTTAAGGTTTGCCAAGCCCTTTCTTCGCAGCCACCCTGGGAGGTCAGTAGTTACAAGGCAGTGATCCTTGGGTGAGGATTGGGAGTAGGAGGAAGAATAGATTACTAAGAAGGAAATGATATTTTCCTTATAACAAACATGCTCTTGGGGAAGAAAATTGTATTTCAAGTTGGTGGGAAAGGTTAGGGGTAGCAGCAATCTTTTGAGGGCAAGCAGGAGCGTTTCTTCTTTGATTGAAGGGCTCCCCAGATCTGGCTCTGAGCTCCCCAGGCGACTGATCTGGAGCTCAGAACAGCTTTTAAACACTGAGTCAGAGTGGTTGCCTTGGTTACAGGGTGGTGGTTGCTAGGTTCAGGGAGGCAATTTGCCATCCCAGGTCCTTAGCTGGGACTGCCAGGGCATAGCTGTTGCATTACCTCATGGCCCAGAGGAGTTCTGGGCCCTGAGCTTGCAGGTTCTGCTCCCCTCCTCCTCACTGCCACCCCATCAGAGCCTTGTCAATGAGTTCCTTATCTTTCCTACCGATCCTCTGACCATATATGTCTCGTTTGGGCTCTTGGAATGTGTCTGGGCTCTGAGCAGGCTTGCTCCTGGGACCTCTGGCGGGGAACAGATCTGGGATTCTGTGGGGACGTAGAGAGGCCCTGGAACCCACCTCCTAACCACACACTACCACACCCTTTTTTCTATGACGAATCCAAGCCCCAGGGAGTCTGAAGGAATCCCAGTTCTGGGCCCAGCTCTTCCCTAGATCTCTAATCCTGGGAATTTTTTTTCCATCTTCCTCTCCCAAGTCCTAGGGCTATGAATGTTTCTTCTTTCTTTTTTTTTTTCGCCACCTCCCCTCCAGCCTGCTTATCCAGCTATGTCTAGTCCTGGAGGGGCAGAGCTGGGCTTGGGCAGCTCTGGTACTTACCTGCCCTGCCTCTAGCCCTGTCCCATCCCCTACATGGTTTCAATCGCTAGATCCTATCTGGGACCCTGCACTTTTTCTCCAGAACTTAACAAGCTTAAAATGGATCTGGTCTCCTCTTTACTGCTCCTCTTGGCTTCCCTGTTTCTAGTGATGACACCAGCGTCCTTGCAGCCACCTGGCTCTGAAGCATGCATCAGAATCTTTGACTCTTCCCTCCTCCTCCTGCCATTTCTAGACGGTTTCTAAAGAGTCTTTTGTGGAGGCAGAATAGACCTCCATCCCAGTCTTTCCAGCTGTGTGGCCAGCCCCCTAATCACCTCTCACCTGGACTATTGCTAGTGCTACCTAATTGGACTGCCCCTTCTCAAGTCTTTCTCCCACGTAGCTAACAAATTGATATTTCTAAAGCGCAGCTTTGACCAGCAGTGAGTCGGAAAACCTTTAGTATACTCTTACTGCACCTGAAGCCGTGTTAGTTGACCATGGTGCTGCCCAGTGGCTCTCGTGGCTTTTAGGAAAAAATGCAAACCTTTCTGCTTGGCTTTGAAAGTCCACCACAATCAGGCCCTTGCCCCCTTGCCAAGTTTACCACATATTACTGCCTTTCCCACACCTTAGTTCCCAGCCATGACCCTTGGCTGTTCCTCTCCTGAGGTCCTGCCTCCTGGAAGACAATTCCCCCCTTATCTGTCCCTCAGGGCTCAGCTCCAGGGCTCCCACTTTTTCCAGGAGGCCTTTCCTTTTTGCCCAGTGGTTAGCTCCCTCCTCTATCTGCTCCCAGACGACTTTGTATTTCCTGGTGTGCGTTTTATGTCCTTGCCCCCAGAAGGCTGAAGGGAGTGGGTGCCCTTTTGTTTCCCTCCCCTTTTGCTATTATTAGCACAAGGCCTGAAACATGGCAAGTGCTTTGAACTGCTTGTTCCTGGAGTGAATGACTGAGCGAGAGGCCAGGGTGGGCCTGGAGTCTCTTGGAGGGATGGAGGAGTAAAACCCGAACCTGAGATGGCAGGTGCCCGTGCACCAATCGGCCTCTGCTTTTTAAGATTTCCCTTCTGCTGGGTATGTTAAGGGCCCAGTACCAAGGCGAGCCTAGCTTTGCTATCTGGCTGCACAGCCTTTTTGCTCTTGTAGCTCTCATGGAAAGGGAGCCAGCCTCCCAACAGAGTCAGCTGGGAAGGGACCATCTTTCTCCTTTTGTAGCTGGAGACCACGATGATGAGGCTGTAGCCTGGGCAGCTGGGAGGTGGGCAGTGCAGAGCCTGGCACAGTCCTTCCCCCACCCAGCTGGGAGATGCAAAGGGAGGTGCTGAGTTGAGCTGTCCTGCATCCCAGCTGCCGTCTCTGGCAAGATCCCCAGTCTGTGGGAGGCAAGGAGACCCAGAACTTCAGGCAACTTGCAACACAGATCGGGGGAGCAGGGGGAAGCTTGCTGTGGAAGTTATAGTCAGCAGGGAAGAGTCTGTCCACTGGCCAGCTCAGTGACCCCTTCGGTGTCTTCCAGGCTCTGCAGGGCAAGACCAAGCAGCAGCATGGCCATGGATCCTCTCTCCGATCTGCAGGATGACCTAGCCTTTGACAACACCAGCCAGGCCCTGAACCAGCTGAAGCTGGCTTCCATTGATGATAAAAACTGGCCCTCGGATGAAATGCCTGACTTTCCCAAATCCGGTACTGTACTGACCCTGGGCCGCAGGAGGAGTGGAAGAATGGGGGAAGGGAGGGAGCCCAAGGTGGGAGAACAGAGGAGGAGATCCTGGGGCCCTACAGAAGTCCATGTTCAGGATTGTCTCCTAACCATGCGCTGTGACTGCCTGCTTCTCAGATGACTCCAAGAGCAGCTCCCCGGATCCTGTCACACACCTGAAATGGGACGACCCTTACTATGACATAGCCCGACACCAGATCGTGGAAGTGGCAGGTGAGCATTCCAGGGGCAGGCGGGGTCCCCTGGCATTGGCCAGACCCTCAAGGGGATACAGAAAAGGAGATCTTGTTCTCCAGAGGTGCAGCTTTGCAACTTTTTCATTCTGCAGAAAGTGATGGTAGTCCTCTCTCTGGCTGGCTCAGAGGGTCTGAGAGACCTGCCTCTTATTCAGCCTTTGCTAATGGGTCACAGATCTTGGAGCTGAAAGGAACCTTAAGGCTCACTTGGTCCAACAGGGGTGGGGAACCTGCGGCCTGGAGGCCACATGTGGCCTTCTAAGTCCTCGGGTGCAGCCTTTGGACTGAGCCCAAGTTTTACAGAACAAATCCTTTTACTAAGGAGTTTGGATTCAGTTTTGTAGAAGAGGAAGGCAAAATCTGCAGGGGCTCAGTGATTGTCCAAGGCAGAGCCAACAAGATTGGGCCTCCTGCTTCATGAGAGTTCTTCCCACTGAACCATATTGACAGCTCTGCCACCTGTCTAATTCCTGGGCAGTTTTAGTAGCCTTGCTGGGTCCAGGCTTCAGGTGGGCCCATGGTCCAGAACCTCAGGTCTCCTCTCCACCATTGTGGTGGCTGGTAAGATAGTGACGAGGATCACCCCTTTGCCCCTTCTCTTGGAAGAGCCTTTTCACATAGTCATTAACAGATACTTGGCAAATGCTGATAACGTGCATGGCTCTAAGCTAAATGCTGGGGGAGTCACTAAGAGGCCCCTTGCCCTGGGGACGTCATTGCTCAAAGAAGAGAGGGAACACTGGAAGGAGAAATCCAAAGTCATCTGCCACTGATGGGAAAAGTTGGGGAGCTGTTTAGGAGGTGGGGCTCTCACATGAGAACAAATTGGAGTCTTGTATGCAGTCAGGAGCAGCTTTTTGGGCAAGAGAGACTATGCCCTTTGAGGGGGGAGTGATGCTGCATGAGTCTGGGCAGTGTGATGTGCCTTGGGGGTCAGCAGAGCCCCCAAAGGAATGGAGCAGGGCCTCATTTCTCCTAGATTCTTGAGTCCTGGAGGGGGAGACAGTGGAGCTCGATTCTCAAGGGGGGCACTGAAGGAGAGGGAGCAAAGATGAAGAATTGCCTCCCCCCAGTACCTCCTCATTAATGTTCTGTGGAATCCCTTTGTGCCTGGGTCTGGGTTGCATACATCAGCTCAGGTGTTCTCACCCCTGGGCTTGCATAGTCTTTGTGGGAAGGACTGGAGCACTCTATCAATCTGGTCTCAGCCTGGAGATATGATGGCCTTGTGAAGGTTCTGGGACCTTTCTTGCATCCTCCAGACTCGGGTTTCAGCTCCGTCGGAGGGTCTGTGTTTAAGGTTGTGAGAGTCCTTCCTATGGGATCATCCTGGATGCCATGGTTTCGAGCTGCTAGGCACCGTGGGAGATGAAAGGGGTCTCGTACTCAGGGGATGGTTGCTCTCTTCCCTGTCCCCACCCAAGGGATCATGGAGAAGTGACGGTGCCAGGAAATCAAGAAGCTGAGACAGATCAGGGCTGCAACCAAGACTTCTCTCCAGAGGACATCCCTGGGTAGGGCATCCCTTCTGAGGAGCGTAGACATCACTGACATCATTAGTGTCACGAGGGCCCCCTGGCCATTGGAACAGAAGATTGAGTCTGGCCATAGTGGACTGAAGGATGGGCAGTGAAGAGGTGAAGCCAGGCCACTCCCTGCCCTGCTTTACCACTCCTTTCCTGAGCTGAGGAGGCCATCCTTGTGAGCTGTGCAGGGGTTGTGGGTGTGGCCATTGCCACCATGCGGCAGGAGCTGTTTTGTTGCTGATTAACTCTCTAGGCTAGACCCTCCCAGGGAGAGTTGCTGATTGCTATCTGGGGAATGCAGCAGAGGCCCTGCTGTGCAAATGACCCACGTGGTTTCAGCACTAAGTGACCGTCCCCAGTGGAGTCGTTTCACTTGCTCCCCTCAAATCCAGAGTGGGGAAGTTCTCCTTGGAACTTCCTTGAGGCCAGCAGGCTCTGGCTGCCTGTGGGGGATCTTCCAAGGTTTATTCTAGCGTTGGCCTCACTTGCCAGAGAGTGGCCCAGGAAGGGGTCTCCACTGTGTGAGTTGGGGGAGATTCTGAGACTGCTGCTCCTGTCCCATCTCTTTCACTGTGAGACCCAGCACCTCTTTTCTAGCCAATTCCGTGGTCCCCCTATATCCAGGCTCCACAGATAAACCACCCTACCCCTGGCTCAGTTTACTCACACAGGGAGGAGAAGCTTAGGGCTCTTATGCTCTGTTTTTCTGTTCATCTTGGCTTCTTTTGGGTACAGACACAGGGTAGCTGGACCAGGGTCACCTGCTGTTGGATTAGAGCTCTTTTTTCCCCTTAAAAGTATATCCATGTTCTAGCCTTTTCCTTCGGGGAGCTTACAGTTGAAAGGGAAGTAAAGATGGACTGGCCTAATACATTCAGTGTTTGCCTGCTCATAGAATAGGGCCTTCCACAGCCAGGACTGTCACGCTTGGGCTACTGTGTCTCCAACTTGGCTTCATTATTCTACAGTGTATCCAGGGGCCCCTCTCAGGCTGGTTGTGGTGGGAGGGAAAAGTCAAGGACAGCCTGGGGAGAAGTCCTCCCAGGGAAAGCCAGGGCCAGAGTGCAGGGGGAAGAAGGGACTCTCTTAGCTCAGTGGATTCTGATTTAGGGAATCACTAAAAGTGATAGCAGTGGGAGAGGGCTGTTAGGGATTAAAGGAATTTAATCAGGGGCCAGTTACTTTGGAAAAGCTGCTTCTCAATGGCACACAGGTCAGACACTTCCTTTCTGCCTCCTTCCCACTGCTTGTAAGAGCCCAGGCCTGCTGAAAAAAATCAACGCAGTTAACACTGTCTCCTAAGTGCAGGGTCAGCTTGGGATTGTTGTCACTTCCACGTCCACTCCTCAGCAAGTTGGAAGAACTAAGGTCCTACCGAAGAGTCGTAGGGATGGCCTGGAGGGCTGAGAGCCTCAGTGATTTGTCTTGGATCAGATGGTATGACTCCGAGGCTCTCTCCCTTTGCCTCTCCACAAGGCTGAAAAAGGAAACAAAGTCATCATGCCCTGAAAATAGTCACAAATACATCGATCCTTTGGGAAATGAGGCCCCACTCAAGGGCTGTTAGAGCTTACCACCAGGGTTTGGCCTGCCTTTTGTTACCAGGCATCTGGGACTTGGTCAGTCTTCATCATTCACTCTCTGGGTTTAAAAGAAAGATCTGAATATCACAGGATTAAGAGGGGGTCTTGAGAAAATCGGTGACACCTGGAGTAGTTTTGTAACAGTGATCTCTTTGTAAAATGAAGCCTTTGTATCCCTCTGGCATGCCCCTCCCCCAACATTTGATTCCATCCTGGTCCTAAGAATTAGTGCGCAGTTGCAACTATAACCTAAATTTTATTAAATGCAAGACCAAGAGTGTATTTTTATGTTCCATTTTTCAAGATAAAACTCCAATCAAACATTTTCCCACTCTTTACTCTGAATGTTGGCCATTTTCCAGTCCCAGTTATCCTCGGATAAGGACGACTTCCTATACTGTGTTCATGAAGATGACACTAGTGTCTTTTGTCCTTGGCCTGGGAGGTCTGACCGTAGCAACTATTTGCATCTGGGTGAAAATCTTTTCCTTTTGAAGAGGCCCGTGTTAAAATAATCTTTGGATACTGACTCCAGATTTTGCTCCTAAGCTCTCAATTCCCTTTCTTCCAGCCGGCATCAGAAGGCTGGGATATGTGGCCGCTTTGGGATGGACATGAGGTTTCCTGGAATCCTCAGGAATGAGGGTAGCATAGGAGGAGGGTAGTGGACAGTAGTGTTTCTCCCTGACAGATGGGCATTGCAGCCGTTAGCCGTTTTCGTGAAGACTCCATGGAGCCCTGAAGGGATCCTTGTCCCATTCTCAGCAGCAAGGAGCATCTCATCTAAGGAGGTGCCATCATATACTCTGAGAGGCTCCAAGGCCCCACAGCAGGGCCTCCCTTCAGGATAATTCCAGCTGTGACTCTGAGTGACTTTTAAACAGACAGAACTTTTACATCAAAATAAATGTCCTTCAGAGCAGTCCCTTCAGATGCCATCTGCTGCCTTCACAAGCAGTAGCATGTACATACTTTCTTGTTTTTGAGCCCTTGCTGTATGCTGAGCACGGATCTTTATCCTTTGGGGTTGGATTTCTTTTTTTTTTTTTACCCCCCAAATGCCTCTGACTCAGATATGGTACATGAAGGCTGGGTGGTCCAGTGGAATTGGCTCTGGAATCAGAAGACCCTCTCTGTGACCTGGGACAAGTTGCTCAATCATCTTCTGAGGCCTCAGTTTCTTCGTCTGTAAAATGGAGAAGTTGGACTAGGTGGCCGCTGGGATCTCCTCCCGCTGTAGCTCTGTGATCGTGCTTATAAAGGAGACGTATGTTTCCTTGCACAGCCTCTAAACTGGTTCGAAGGGCAGTTCCCAAAGACGAGTCCAGACGTGTGGTAACATTTTAGGAATTTATGTGTAGCCTCTCATGATGACTCCCTAGATAGACCCAGCTCATAGTCAGGCAGCAACCACCATGCAGTGGAAAGAGTACTGGGCTCATTAGACAGCCTGAGCCGAGTTCCTGTCTCTGACTTTTTTTTTTTTTGAGAAGGGGCCTCCTCCCACCTAACCAGGAAGTGTGGTGGCCACTCCTGGGTTTGACCCAGCTATGTGTCCGCTCACAAGCTTTAACCTGCTTTGTCCTTTTCTGACCTGGCTTGGTTCACTCTTCCTTGGTGGTCCTTCACTCAGGGGCCTGCCATGTTGTGCTGCACGTGCCCCTCAAAACTGCCACGCTCAGTGATCGTCCAGCCTTTGCCTTCTCAGGAGCAGCGACTGCAGATGGGTGGCTGCGACTGGTCTCTCCGACAGTTCTTAACGCTGTGGTCCTGGGCAAATCAGTTCTCTTTTCTGAGACTCACTTTCCCTTTGTAACATGGGGGCGACAATCTTCGTACCACCCACTTTACAGTGTTGTTAGGGGAAATGCTTTGGAATCGAGGGTGTCATGTAAATGTGTACTATGATTATTTGAATGTCAGTGCCTTTCTCTTTTAAAATCCCAGTACTTTGTGGCTGTGCTTTGTAGACCCTGGGAATTGCCTTCTGCACACCCAGGCCCAGGGGATGGCTTTCAGGCTTTTCTCTGTGACTTGGTCTCTCTCTCCCTCTCTAGGAGATGACAAATATGGGCGGAAGATCATCATATTCAGTGCCTGTAGGATGCCTCCAAGCCACCAGCTGGATCATGTCAAACTCCTAGAGTGAGTAGGGTAGGGGAAGTGGGAGTTTCTCCCAGCTTTTCCCAATCAGCAAGTTCCTTTCTGAGGGTCCTGGAGGAAAGAGGGAACCAGGGAAAGGGAGCTAACATTTACTGAGCACCTACTGTGTGTCAGTCATCGTGCCGAGTGCTTTACAGACATCATCTCCTTTCATCCTCACAACAACCCTGAGAGGTCGGTGCCATTCTTGTCGGCATTTCACAGTTGAGGAAACTGAGGCAGACAGAGGTTAAGTGGCTTGCCTGGAGCCACAAACTAGTAAGTGTCTGAGGCTGGATTTGAACTTAGATCTTCCTGTCTCCACTAGGCTGCCTGGCTCTCCAGAGGCCTGCGCTGCTGCTGGCAGAGCCAGGGGATACTGGATTGCTTGCCGTGATGAATTCTTCTCATCCTAGGAAAGTTATTGAATTTTGGGAGACTCAGACCAGTGCCTTCCACTTCTGTAGTTATCCTGACGTACTTGCTTTTATTTCACTTCTCCTGGTGTGGTTGTGATGGCCATCTTTTATTTTCACAGCACAGCTAAATCTGGTCTGAGTACATGCTAACAGCCCAGCACCCAAGGGCTGAGAGCTGCCCATTGGGTGGTTGGGATAGAAGTCTCCCCGGGGAGGTGGCTGGAGGGGGTCGGCAGGGGCTATTTTCTGCATGACCATCAGGGCCTACGAGACCCCTGTCCCTGCAAAGCCCAGCTAGCTTCCACCTCCGGGGCCCATGGAGGATCAGCAGGCTCGGCTTTGGCATTTCTCTGTCTCTGACCTCACACTCCTTGCTGGGGAAGCCCAAGGCCACCCCAGGAAGTCTCCCCTTCCTTCATCCAGACTCTCACAGGGCTGGGGGCAGGGCAGAGGGACAGGCAGCCACGTGGGTCCTAGCTTAGCTTTCAGGCCCAGGCTCTCTCCAAAGGTTCTTCCTCCCTAACCCCCACTTCTTAGAGAAGAGGGATCTGCCCAGTCAGCTCTGTTAGCTGACTCAGTCTCCTGGCCTCTCTCTTGTTTCCATCACAAAGGCAATAGACATTGGACCTCAGTGGGAAGAAGTCAAGGAAAGGGGCAGGAAAGGGCTTGGCTTTGATGGACGACTCCCTGGTTCAGCTGAGGGAGGAGCGTTCCAGCTCCCAGCCCCCTTGGGCTGTAGGACGTCTTGCTTCCTGCTGGCACCTGGAGCTCTCTGGCCTAGGTCTGGGGGTACTTGGCCTCCCCTGGTTCCTGGGATCCCAGACTCAGACCTGCTTCTTTCCTGGCTCCACCTTCCAGGAGAGTGGGCTTGGGGCTGAGGCTGAGCTCAGGCTGATCCCAGGCCTGTCAGTTCCCACCCTCCTCCCTAGGTTTAGGGACTGCATTTACCATCGATTTGCCCCCTGAGCAGATCATCTTCCTCCCTCCCTCCCCATCACAGGGCAGTGCGGGGCCTCTGTCTTTGCATCAGCTAAGGTGGGTCTGGGTAGGCGTGCCATGATCGGGCATCATAGGTGTGGGTGAATTCCACTGGCTTGCTGCACTTGGCGTTGCTCACGTTCCTGAGGACTGTGATCCCACGATGCCACTAGGTGTGCTGGCCTCAGGCCCTCCCTCTGCTGTGCTGTGGAGACAAGCTAGCCCTTCTTCCTTCCTTCCTGGCCTCCTGGGGGGTGCACAGTCCTCTACCTGGCTCCAGGAGACTCACGGGGCTTGGGGAGGTGGGGCTGGTAGAGACAGCTTTGCCTTAGGAGTCACAGGACCCAGGGGTGCTGCTTATCAGCTGTGTGGCCTCACCCAACTCCTTTTCCCTCTGCAGCCTCAGTCTCTTCATAAAATAAGGGCGGTGGCCTCGGAGATTTCAGGGCTGTGGTCCTGGGGTCCTTGCTCTTGGGACAGTAAAGTCACGCACACAGATGCACACCCATTCGTACTCAGGCATTCTTAGGCAGGTGTAAAGACCATGCATGGCTGGGCACTCTCTTCTTTCTTTTTATGTTTTATTGTTGACTTTTGTTCTGAATACTCAGCTCTACCCCTCCACCCTCTTATTGAATCTTTCTTTGCAACAAAGCAGCAAAATAATCCCAGCTGAGAACAGGGAGGGTGAGTCATTACAAGTCAGGTGGGCTTTAGGAGGCATCCCAGAAATCGTAATGAAAATTATAATAATAATAACATTCATGTGTGCCAAGGGCTGTATTATCTCATTTGATTCCTCACGACTCTGAGAGTTTTATTTCACCCTGTCTGACCCCCTCATTTTATAGATGAGGAAACAGGCAAACAGAGGAAGTGACTTTTTCAAGGTCACATGACTAGTAAGTCTTAGGCTGAATTTGAACTCAGGTCTTCCTGAGCCAGGGCTCTGTGCACTGCAGCGCCCCCTGGTGGCCTGTGGGTATAGTGAAAAGAACCCTAGGTTTGAAATCAGGGGCCAGGGGTTCAAATTCTATCTTGGATCCTCTGTGGCCTTGGACAGCTCTTTTCCTCTCTCGAGGCCTTAGCTGCCTTCTCTATAACGTGAGGGGGTCAGGCAGGGTGACTGGAAGGTCTTGGCTCTAAGTGCAGGAGCCGGTAAAGCCTGAGTGTCTCTGCAGGTACCTAAAGTATACCTTGGACCAGTATGTGGAGAGTGACTACACCCTGTTGTACCTGCACCACGGCCTGACCAGTGAGAATAAGCCCTCCCTCAGCTGGCTTCGAGATGCTTACCGGGAGTTTGACCGCAAGTGAGTTGGAAGGGCTGGGGGGCGTTGGGGGCTGTTGGTTCTGCCCCTGGGGCCAAGCAGATCCAGGCAGGTGCCCCAGTCCCCCCAGATGGCTCTCACACGCCCCCAGGTCTTCTCAGAATAAACTCCTCGGTCCCTTTCCTTACGGTGCTGCCTTTTCTGGGACGTTTTCCTGCGTGTCACTGGCCCTCCGTGATGCTGAGGAAGCCCTGGGGCTGGGGGCAGAGGCTGCACTCAGACCCTCTGACTCAGGCCTCTGCCGTCCTCCTTGCCCAGGTACAAGAAGAACATTAAAGCCCTGTACGTCGTGCACCCCACCATGTTCATCAAGACGCTGCTCATCCTCTTCAAACCCCTCATTAGGTGAGGCTGGCGGGAGGGTTGGCTGCCAAGGCAGGCCTGCAGGGAAGCCGAGTGGCTCAGACAGAGCACGGGCTTCCCCCTGAGACGCATCTTCTCCTGGGCTGGCAGCTTCAAGTTTGGCAGGAAGATTTTCTATGTGAACTACCTGAGTGAGCTGAGTGAGCATGTGAAGTTGGAGCAGCTGGGCATCCCCCGCCAAGTGCTCAAGTGAGATGCTCGGGCTGGGGAGGCAGGGGAGGGACAGAGGGCCCAAGGGCCTGGGGCTGGCCGGTGGGCATGGCCTGCCTGGCCCTGACCCGGACCCCTCTTTCCCAGGTATGATGACTTCCTCAAATCCACCCAGAAAACGCCGGCCACAGCTCCCAAGCCCATGCCCCCTCGGCCCCCACTCCCCAACCAGCAGTTTGGGGTCTCGTTGCAGCAGTGAGTACACAGGCAGGGCCATGGGTGCTGGAGGGCAGTGATGAAAGGGGCAGCTCGGGGCTCAGCTCACCCACCCTTCTCCCGCAGCCTCCAGGAGAAGAGCACCGAGCCCGAACACCTGCCCCTTGTCCTCAGAGAGACCGTCACCTACCTGCAAGCCCATGGTGAGTGGGGGCCCTTCCCCAGCCAGCCAGCTCCAGCAGGCCTTTTCTAGCCCATTTCTGCAGCATAGCCTCATAGGAAGGATGTGGGGCTCCTGAGGCAGGAGCCCTTGGCTTTGACTTTTTACTGTGTGCCAGGGGCAGCTCACTTCAGCCTTAGCCTCTTTATCTGTCCAGTGGAGAGGATCACACGTGCACTCTCTACCTCGAGTTTCCCTGGGGCCGAGTTCCTTGGCCTCTTTCTCTTCGGTGCCTCAGCGTCCCATGGAGCAGCCGACATGCTGAGCCAGGCTGAAGGGGGCTGGCCCGGTGGCCTTCTCGGGGCCTCACTTTCCTCCTCTTGCTGTCCAGCTCTTACCACAGAGGGGATTTTCCGGAGATCAGCCAACACTCAGGTTGTGCGGGAGGTGCAGCAGAAGTACAACATGGGTGAGTGTGGCCTAGGCGTCTTCTGGCTCTCACTCCCTGCCCCTCCCCGCCTGCTCACTGAGGGAGGGGTTCAGCAGGCGGCCAGGGCCCTTTCCTTGTGGGGGCCTGGTTAGTGATCCTGGACCTCCCCAGCCTGTAGCCTGGAGTGTCCCCATGCTGAGGAGGTGCCGTGATTAGCACCCACTCTTGGATCCTCGTTTTCCCTTACTTGTAATGGACGGGAGCAACTTTTTAGAGAGAGGGTGAGTTCAATGTCTACAAAGACTGCTGCCCTTGGGGTCAGCCAAGACGTGAATAGGGCTGCATTTGTGAGCCCTTTACAAATCTGGAATTGCCACAGATCGCCTACATGGCCAGTTCTGGGCTCCGTCTGCAAACCTTCTGTGATGGACGATCCGCGGTGTCCTGAGGCCATCCATTCCACTTGGGAATGGCTAGAACTGGTGACAAGCTGTAAAAATCCCGGCTGGCATCTTGGTCATCAACTCTAGCCGGGGGAGGAAGTGAAGAGGTCCTCCAGGGGCTGGGGGCTAGTGTGGCTCCCTGGGCCTGGGCCTGAGGATGGTGAGAAGCTCCTCCCGAGAGGCCTGGCGCCCCTGTCAAAGAGTCAGGCTGGCCCGGGTGGGCCTGAGGCCAAGCTCATGCCTTCTTCCTATCACCCCAGGGCTGCCGGTAAACTTTGAGCAGTATGATGATGTGCACCTCCCAGCGGTCATCCTGAAGACCTTCCTTCGGGAGCTGCCTGAGCCCTTGCTCACTTTTGACCTCTACCCCCACGTTGTGGGCTTCCTCAGTGAGTGCCTTATCCTGGCTGTCGGTCCCACCATTTGTCCACTTCACTCCTTCCTCCATGGCAGGCCGGGGCAGGCGAGAGGAAGGATGGAGAGTGTCCCTGGCACAGAGGCCCCCTCAGCTGGCACTCCCCCTCTCCATCTACCCATCCCCTTGGCTGTGCCACAGGGATGGCTCGGCCCTCACCTGCCCCTGTGGCCCGGCCCCATCTGTTGCAGATATTGAAGAGGACCGGAGAGTAGCAGTGACCCTCCAAGTCCTGCAGACCCTACCTGAGGAAAACTACCAGGTCCTGCGCTTCCTCACAGCCTTCCTGGCCCAGGTCAGTGGCTTGGCTTCCCAGAGAGTTGTGGAGGAGTATGGGACATGTGTTGGTGGGTGTTTTGGGGCTTCCGGGTAGCTGCTGCTCATCTCGCTGGGAGTAGGGCAGGGGTGGAAGGCGATGGTCGTGTTTCCCTGCTGCATCCCTCTTCTCCTGGCCCTTTCCCAGATCTCCTCCTATAGCGACCAAAACAAGATGACCAACACTAACCTGGCCGTGGTCTTCGGGCCCAACTTGCTGTGGGCCAAGGATGCGGCCATCACTCTCAAAGCCATCAATCCCATCAACACCTTCACCAAGTTCCTGCTGGATCACCAAGCAGAGCTGTTCCCCAACTTGGTGGGGCCCTGAGTGCCCCTCGTTTCCATCCCACCCCCTCCTCCCCCTCTTCTCTGGCAGCCACCGTCCACTCCCTTGGCCTTGTCCCAGTGGATTCCCCGTGCAGGAATAAGCCTCGGGGTCCTGAGAGGTAACAAAGCTCAGGAAGGAGACCCCTCCTCTGTGACGGGTACAGACTTCCCAGCCAGTGAAACCCTTCTGTTCTGTGCCCACAGCCTCGCCCAGGCCCCCACCCTACTGAGGCTTCACAGGCCTCTCTTTTAAACATTCCTTCTCTCAGCAGCCTTATACTCCTACACTGCCTCTGTGGTGCCCAGGATGCTGGAGGTTTCCCTGATGCCAAAATCTGGCTTTCAAGGTGGGAAAAGAGGCATCCCTGACAAGCTGTTTTCCCCTTGCTCTCCCTGTTGCCCTGGTAGCTGACTGCCCACGGGGCTGGTGGCTCTGGGACCGGTTGTCGCCTCCATGGTTTGTGTTTAGTGTGACCAGGAGAGTGTTCTGCTTCCCAGAGAACGTTCCAGGCCCAACTAAGGCCATGCCCCTCTGTGGGGGGCTCAGCCTTTGGTTTGGGGACCAGTTTCAGTGACATTGGCCCTGCCAGGTAGCACCTGGCTCTACACCCCTTTCCACCTCCTAGACTCCCATTGTCTTCTGGCTGATCAGAGGACTCGGGATTGGATGGTGGCATTGGAGGAGGGGAAGCCCCTTCGGAAACCCCTCCCCCTACTCCAGAGTCATAGCGTATCTCCCTGAGGTTTGGTCAGTGACAGGTTCGTCCGCGTTCCTTAGGTGCCTCTATCCACTCCTTCCCAGCCTTAGACACGATTCCTGAAACCTCAGGACTTGTGCAGACTCTGTTGTGTCAAACCCAGGGTACAAGTCCCCTTGGGGGCAGGGCAGCAGGGTCGAAGCACTGTTGGTCCATGTTCTAGGGACTTCCTGAAGGCTGGATTTGAAGGGCCTCTTGTAGCTGTGACTTGAGTGTAGAGGTGGCTTTGATTGGCCTTTGGACCTTCAGGCCTGTCTCCAGGCCCCTGCAGGCCATGGGGCTCCTCTCAGTACATCCCTGTCAGATGAGTCCACGATGACTCTGCACAGCCCTACACACCCTGGCAGCCTAGAACCAACCACCCGCTGTCCTTGAGAACCTCCTATAATGCCATTGAAAAAATGTCCCTTATGACCCGTCCCACTATTATGTGTCCAGAGCTGATCTGCGCCTTTTCCTCTTTTGTCCCCTTTTTGTCCTCAGCCCTGGGGGAGCTCCTGTTCCTTGTACCTCTGCCCCCACATCCCTGGGCGGGAGCAGATATGCCTGGAGCTCAGCATCTTTGTGGCCTTTGCTGACCTCTTGCTCTCTTTTCTGACTTGATCAAGCCAGCCCTTCTTGCCCACTGTCTGGGGGGGATTGAGGCTACGCACTGGCCTAACTGGGCTCTTTCCTCTTGAGGTTACAGGTACAGGGTGGGGCCTGGGGTCCTGGAAGCTGTCCCCTGTCCCTATCTGCCCCTTCCACTTTCGGTCCTCATATGTGTACTGCATTTGCCTATGGCCCCTCCCCCCAACTCCCTTCCTTTTATGGGGAGGTTTTTTGGGCTGTCTTGTCCCTTTCCTCCTAGCGGCCTTTCCCACTGGTCTGCCTCTGGGAGGGCTCGACTGTGAAATGAGTTCACATTCACACTTATTGACTTCCTCTGCACCAATCGTGTATTTCACCATTTGCACTTTTTGTATTTCAATAAAAATAGAGATCAAAAAATACCCCAACTGACTGGAGTTCAGGGAAGGGTAGGAGACAGGTGGGTGAGAGTTGATGGGATGGTTGGAGTGGGAAGGGGGCAGAATCCAGGCCATAATCTGCACCCCCCTCACCTTGGTTTAATCCACATATGGGTGGGATCCTTAATTAAGAGTGAGCTAATCTAGCCCTCTCTTTTTATAGTGAAGGAAACTGAGTCCCAGAAAAGGGAAATGACTTGGCTGAGGTCCCAGAGTGGGTCAGAGGATAATCCTAACTCCCTGTCACTTTAGCAGAATCTGGTGGGGTTGGTCCATTGAGAGCAAGGGGGGCACAAGGAAGTTATTTCTTACTATGCTAATTAGCCATCTCATTTCTCCAGGCTTCTGTGGGAAGGGATGGAATAGAAACCTCACCCATCTGAGCAGCTGGGCTGTCTACAGCTGGGTGGAGTCACTAGGGAGGAGAGAGGGAACCAGTTTTTCCTCTCCCCTTTTGGAGAACTGAGCTGCAGTTTCCAGGCTCGGGCTCTTTCCTGGGTTAGTTTTGCAGACAGAATTTTGCAGTATTTGATTTGGCAGCCCTGGCTGTGAATTGTAACCAGAAGGTAAATGGTGGCCTTTGTCACTGTGTTTACATTTCCTTGCCTAGCCTGGTCGCTGGAGGCACCAACCAGTGTTATTACAGCCGCTGTTATAAACAGAGCTGGGGAGCCCTGCAAAGTTTGCCTACTCCACAACTGGGCCCCAGCAGTCAGGTAAGAGGAGGGCTGCGTTCCTCCCCCTCACTGCCTTTCTGAGCAGCTTCAGCACCTCTGAAGGGGGTGACCCGTGAAACCACTGCCCTCGAGCAGGAAGACAAAGCCATCGAGACAGGCAGATGTGAGGCTTGTTAGGGTTGCTTGTTTTGTGGGTTGCCTGGGCAAGCGGGGGCCTCTTTGGTAACAACAGCAGGGCTGAGGCTGGGGAGAAGGGGCCACGCCCCTTCTGCTAGGCAACGGTTCCAACTGGCACAGGGAGCTAGCTGGGGGTTCTCTGTGCCACTTTCTCTGTGCCCTCTCTACCCACCATGTTTTCAGTGGATGCCAGATCTCAGTACAACTAACTGGTGTGCCAGGCAATGGGGAAACAGATAAACACAAAAACAGCTTCTACCCTCAAGGAACTTACATTCTGTTTGGGGGAATCAACGTGTATACAGGAGGGAGCACATGAGCTGAGCCTTGAGGGAAGCTAGCTGGGGGTTCCCAAAGTGCATTCCAGAGGGGAGCAGCTTCTGCAGGCCCATTTGCACGGACTGTAGGCCGTGTGAAGGGGCACTGGTGGTGTTAGACTACAGCCAGACTGCCAGGAGGGCCAGGTTCATCCAATCTGCAGCCACTTTCTCTGGGTAAGCTCCGATGGGCCGCCTGTCCTTCTGGGGCTGGAGCACACAAGGGCACAAATGAGCTGGGAGAGGGATTCTGCTCGTCAGGAATGCGGTCCCCAACAGCACATTTGCTGCGGGTTCTAGCTCCCCCGTTGCTCCTCCCTCTCCTGGCCAACACTAGTAGGAGCTGCTCCGGGCAGGCGGGATGACCGTTTCCCCTGGGAAGGGCAAGGACTGAAGTCCACCCTCACGCTTGCTGGCTATGTAGGCCAGCCTCAGCAACTGCTGTTGTGTCAGACCCAGAGCTCAGGCCTTCTGGCTCCCTTCTCTCTGACGCCACATCCATCCCTTTACACTGTGGTCTGATGCCCATATTGATGACATAGGCTCTGGGGCCCCTGGCTTTCTGCTGGAGCAGTTTTTACCCTTTGAGGACTGGGCACTAAACCCACCTTCAAAACTTAGCCATCAGGGGCAGCTAGGTGGCACAGAGGATAGAGCACTGGCCCTGAAGTCAGGAGGACCTGAGTTCAAATCTGGCCTCAGACCAAACACTTGACACTTACTAGCTGTGTGGCCTTGGGCAAGTCACTTAACCCCAATTGCCTAAAAAACAAACAAAAAACCCTAGTCACCAGCCCCTCACAGCAGGCTGGGTCTGTTCCAGTCAGGGTACCTTCTAGGAGCGGAGAGCTTCTTGGCCAGGGGAGAATGAAGAAAAGGACTTCACTGTGTACAGAAAAATTTTATTGGAAATTTCTTGAGAATATATTTGAAAGTAATAGCTCAGTGTTTTCAAACAAGATAAGGGGTGAAGATGCTCCTCTCCAGGCCGAGCATCTGAATGGCTAGTCACCAGCCAGCTCTGTCCTGGATATGCCGACACCAGCTTGACTGACCTCAGGAAGACAGAGAGCCCGAGAGCCAGTCCAGGGCCCAAATCCCTTGGCATTGAGCAAGGCTGACAGAATAGGTTTGGAATAGACTGCCTGCCGATGGGCCATGCTCAGCTCCAGTCCTGGTGAGATTGGGAGCGCCTAGCTCCTTCCACCACTGAGGAGCCCTGAGCAGACTGGCAATGGAGAAGGGTCACTTACTGCCTGCAGAGGGCAGCATTTGTACCGACACTGCTCCTGGCTAGGATACCACAGCACGTCATGCAGGGGCCAAGGGGAAGTTGGTCAGGGGTGTTGTCTATGGAGCTGACCAACCAGGAGCTGGGAGAATTTGAGAGATGGGGAAAATGTTTCCAAGGTCCATGTTACCTCCCTGCTCATACAGCCCTGGTGCTGTGGGGTCAAACTGTTTGGTCTGGCCAACTCACGTACCGGTAACTGCTAGGACTGTCCTACACTGAGCCAAAATCACTGGGTTGACTCTGTGGTTGTGCTCACTTTTGTCCTCTGGATCAAGGATGGGTTAGGGCCAAGGCTGCCCTGGACTGTACCCTCAAGGCTGGAAGAAACCAGGCCTCTAGTGACAGCAGGATTCCCAAACGAAATCTACCCGAGTTGTCCCCTTCCCATCAACGCTGAGGTCACTTCCTGTCTTCCTAGTAGCAGACATCCGTGCACAAAAATTCACAGCAGTGAGGTGATCAACACGGTACAAAGCTAAGCTCAAACCGGGGCAGCAGAACGTGCAGGTCAGAGCATTTTTGTCACATGCAGCTTATGACGAAAGACTTGAGAAAGCAATCTGTTCCTTCGACTGGCTGCTTCCTAAGGACCTATGCGCACCAAGGCCTAGAGAGCCTCGTCCGCCTTGGAGAATGGCCCTTGTCCAAGGCAGCAGTCCCTACGTGGAAGGAGTGGAAGTGGGGATGATGTCACACGGGGAAGGCCCGGCAGTGAGAGGCAGCTGACTGACAACTAGAAGGGTAGGGTCAGATCCAACTGACAAGCAACAGGGCAACATCCCGTCTCTTAGAGTCAGAGCTGGAGGATGGGAGTAGAAGTGCTACCCCCTCCTTCCATGACCCTCCTCCCATGCAAGCTCAAGTTTCCGGCCCCTTTGGATGGCTCTAGAGGTGGACAGGCGGGAACAAGTCCTAATCACCCAGGAATACCCAGGCCTGTTGGGGGGCCCCCACCAAGGCAGCAAGAAGCACCCGGGGGCCTGGGGCTTTGGGATGTGGCACAGCACCGAGGAGGGCTTTGTCTCTGAAGGGCGGAGGCCACGTGTGGCCATCCATTTATCTCAAGGGCTGTCATGTTGTCATGAAGCCAGTGTGGCATTAAGGAAGAAAATTTCATAATCCCAGCCAGCAAAAAATAATTTCTTGGAAGGGGTGGGGAGAACCCCACACTTGTAAGAAGTTGGTGGGGGTGGGGTGAGTTGAAATGCAGCAATTGTGGGGAGGAGACAGTGTTCCCGAGGCCACAGCTATGCCTAGGCCTCTGTTCTCAATGTATATGGAGATGAGAGGTCCCAGGGATGCTTGTGGCATCTTAAAAGGGCCCTGCTGGGCAGAGGAAAGACCCAGCCTTCCCAAAGCCACAGCAGGGTTAAAACAGCCCACGTCAAGTGCATTTTAAAAAATAATCTGATTTCTTTTAAAGCAATAAATATTTACTGTTTGATGCTTATCTATAAGCATAGAGCAGCAACAGTAGCAGGAGAGGAAGGGAAGAGAAGAGAATCTTGGTCTCCCAACGGCACAACCCTAACAAAATAGGACGCCGAGTTTCTATTTACAATCGTGGGTCAGGAGCAGGGGACAGGGAACCTGATGAGTCATTCAGGGCAGTCCAATGCAGCCTTGCATAGTGTCATGAAAGCGCTTATACTATAGGGGAGACAGACTGCCTTGGGTCAAAAAACGTGGACAGTCAGATAACCTTTCCAGAGCAGAGAGCAGCCAGAAACATATAGGTCTTTTCTCCAGTGGGCAGAGAACTGAGACATGGGAAAGTAAAATGCCCCGTCCTTCCGGGCCTCTACACTGTGTGTGGTATTGGTGGACCGGACTTTGCTCTTTCCTTTCTTGTTCCTGGGTCACTGGGGTAGGACAGTCATATCCAGTGTCCTCAGCCCTAGATACAGCCCCAGTACTGAGGGGAGAGGCTGCTCAGTTCAAGGTAGGTGGAAGGTCCATAATTCTACAGGCCAAACTGGATGGCGATGTTCGGCTGGCTAAGCAGCAGGGGCTGAGATGAGCTGCTCTACTCTACACTGGGGTGGGAAAGCTCCCTTTTTCACCAGCTGTGCTTATTCCTGACTCTTAGGGTAGATTATGACCCAGAACTCAAATGCTCCAGGGACTGGGCCCTCTTCAATGCCGACCCCTGGGTCTGATTGGGGAGAAGAGCCAAAAGGTAGGAATGGGGGAGCCCCTTCCCTCTGCCTTCCACTCCCTGGCCTGGATTGAAGCTGAATCAATAACAGATGAGAGAAAGGGAGAAGAGAGCTAGGTGGAATGGTCTCTGTCCTCAGGGGTGTCCAAGAAAGGAGCTGCTACTGCTGCTGCTGCTGGGGCCTGGGGAGGATGCTGACTTTACTGTAGGGTCTCCACAAAGGCATCAAACTCTTTGACATTCTTCTCATGCACGGCCAGTTTTTCTGGGAGTGAGTCCTGAAAAGGAAGGGGGAAGATCAGGAACGCTTACATCCTGTGGGTGCGACCGAGCTCCTCTGGCCAGAAGCCCCCAGGACTGCCTGGCCCAGCGGACACTGGAGTGCCCTCAGCCCTGAAGAGGGAGGTCCTGAGTGTTAGCACCTAACACCCTCCCCCATACAGTGCTGTGATAATAAACTATACAGAGGGTGGGGGGCAGCGCAAGAAGCCAATGGTGAGCAGACTGGGGAAGAGAGAAGAGAAGGTCTATTCTCTAAGCTGTAATTGGGAAGGACTGCGAGGCTGGGCAAGGATGACCCGGGGGCCTCCCAGTGGGCTCCACACTGACTGATACAGCTCAACTTCAAGATCAAGGCGAGGACACAGAACATACCCGGGACGTAAGGGGGCTTTCCTAAGAGGATGAAGTTGAGTTCAGAGCTCAGGAAACTAGAGAAGACCCTAATAAAAAGGATGAAAGTCCTAAACAATACAACTGTGAGGAAAGGAAAGAGCAGCTGGGCCTCCTTCCCAGAGGAGGAGGCCAAGGGGCAAACGAGCTGTTTTTCAAGTATGTAAAGCTATTATTATTGGGGGAAAAAAAGATCCTGTCCAGATGGTCCCTCTCTCCACTGATGACTTAATATGAAGGGGTTTCAGTGTTGCAGATTTACTGCCAGGGAGGGTCCAATATGGGCCTGGATTCCTAAGGCAAGCTGACAACTGGATGTGTTGCAGAGGCTGCACAGAGGCGGGAGAAGGGCCGAGCTGGCCTCCTGGGGTATTCAGTGACAGCCAGGTCAGGGTCATGTTTGATACCTTTCCTTTTTTTTGGGGGGGGGGGTGTGGGGCGTGGCTAGGCAATGGGGTTAAGTGACTTGCCTAGGGTCACACAGCTATTAAGGGTCTGGTGTTTGAGGCTGGATTTGAACTCAGGTCCTCGCTCCAAGACAGCCTGTGTGACTGTCACACTTTGCTCGGCTGCGGCACTAGCACAGCTGTCCTCCCAGTGCCCTCACCACAGGGCAAAGCCCGAGTGTTCTGCCAACCCTCCAACGCTGCTGCCGTCTCTGCACTCACTCACTGTCCTCTCCGGGTCTAAGGTGAGGGTCCCAGGCTCTACGTCACTGAAGGCATGAAGCCCGCTGAGGAATGGCCCACTGACTGAGGACCAATGTGTGAAGCTCAGAGAGGCTGGACTAAGAGGACCTTAAAGTCTGTGGCCACAGCAACTCCTCAAGAGAGTCCAGTGAAGCATGGAGGGGCCGCCACCTGCACTGGTGGAGAGTTCCCATGCTGACTGGCTGCAGGCTCTCTAAGGCACTCCGAGGCGGCCGATAAATAACCCGGCACAGAACCGAAGCATGGGGTCATCCAGCTTCCCACCCACTGCTCCAAGTGCTCAGAATCCTCTTCTCCCCCAGGGAGGGCTGGACTGCTTTTACTCAGGACACCAAGACAGGCTTTCTGTGGGGAATCCGCCTAGCTAGCCTTCCTGGAAAGTTTAAACGGCTGAATGCAAGGAGCTACGTCCTAGGGAAAATGGCAGGGGAACCACTGATGCTGAGAGAGTCCATGGGAAAACGGGAGATGTGCTCAAGAAAGCCAGTGGAGGATGGCGACAGAGAAAAAGCTGGAGAAAATGAGGCTGTGCTAGGGAACAGGGTCTTCTCTTCCTCTCTAGCTTTTCTTGGGGGGCAGAACTCTTGTCAGGCTGTCTGTCAGCATGAGGCATGGGGTGGTGTGTGTTGGGGAGCCGCGATCTGCAACTGACTTTCTGTGTGACTGTGGGTAAGTCACACAACTTTCTTTGTAACATGAGGGGATGGTGCTTGATGACATGCTAAGGGTTTTCCCAGCTCTAGATTTCTGATTCTCGGGAAACCAGGGTGGAGTAAGATTTTCCATACCAGGTCTTCAGCCATGGACTGAGCCCCAATGTCGATAGACAGGCTGCTCAGCTGAGGGGGATTCTGAAACTCCCGGTAGAAGGTCCCTAAGTCCATGGGCAGAATGTCATCTTTTGAGAAGGCTGGCTTCTTAAAAACAAAAACAAGACAAGCAGGCGTCACTGCCTCTCTGGTAACTCAGAGGGAAACACACAAAATGTGAGTCAATTTCCTTTCCTTGCAGTCACCTCCGAGGAAAGGCTCCTCCAGAGCTCACCTGAAGATTTTTTTCCCTTGAGGCTACCTCTGAAGCTTCTGCCCTTGCTTTCAAAAGAGAGTTCTTTTCTCTTTTTAACCTTAGCACTGCTAGCATGAGCTTAACTAAACTGATGCTAATGGACAAATACTCTAAAGATCTGCTTTTACTTCCTTACGGAAAAAAACCCAAAGACCCATACTGAGAATGCTTCTTTTCTATTCTCGGCCAAGAGACGTAAGAAGCCTCGTAGGGCTCCCTAGCTCCTCAGATGCTGTGCGTCTAGCACCCGGAGCCAGTCCTAGTACTCACTACCAGAATTCACCCTGGATGGCGGAGGAGGACCCGTCCTGTGTATTCTGGTGGTGCCTTCTCACAATGCCTCAGTGGCATGGAGGTCACTGCGGCAGTCACACACCAGCTGCGACAGCCTACACCAAGCTCGAAGGCTTCTGGGACAGAGGTAGCAACAGGCCCCCCCCGCTGGAGGACCAGCCTCCCAACTTGCCATCAGAGGCTGGAGGTGAGGAAAACTCCCGGTCATAACAAACTCCATTCCTGTCTACTCAGTGCATGGTGGCACTGTCCCTGCCCACAGAACCAAAGCTCTGTCGAACCACTCCATTAACAAGCTTTGTGGCAAGAGGCGACGAAAGGCAAGGAGCGGCCGCAACTTACAAAGTCAACCATGACAAAGTCATCGTGAGCGTTGCCGCCGCCGCCACCGCTGGACCCATCGGAGTGCAAGCTGCCTTGGAGAGGAGAGTCAGTGTCGGGGGAGTCAGGAGGATTCACCTACTCGGAGAACCACAAAGACCTTGTTTTAGTGCCCTGGCTAAAGGCCACCTTCAGCAACCTGGGGACCTCACGCTGGCTAGACTCGACAACGTTAGCAACCGCAACCCAGGAGGCGGTGAAGCCCACCGGAGAGGGAGACACACTCTTGGGGACTACTCTGTCTTACTGGAAGCTTTCTCAGTGGGAAACTCACCATGGGATCATTATCCTCTAGCTCAAAGTTCTTGGGAGCAAACATGGCAAAGGGGATGTCCAAATTGGTCATTGTTACCTGGAAAGGTACAAGAAAAAAGGATGAGGGCCAGCTCTCACCTGACACATACAGGCCCTTCAGCAAAGGGCAGTAAAGGCAGGAGCCCGGGGGTCAGCCGTTATTCCCTGATCCATCCATCCTTCTACTCTACAAAGCCAACGGACCGGGCTTGCGCCTGGAAAAGATGCAGAGATAGAGACGCAATCCCCGCTGCCCTAGAGCTTGCCACGCAGGGCCCTGCACGGCTGGAGCAGAGGACGAGCTGGCTGTGGCTGCCCTCCACAGAGTCAGACAGCAGGGATCCCAGCCAGACTCGCTTACATCTCCAAGGGCTGAGCTCAGTGTCCTGTAGAGAGCAGACACGGGAGGTCTGCTCTGCACTGAGTCCGGGAGGCTGTGTCCACAGGGACCCAAAGAACAGCAGACTGCAGGAAGCGAACGTGGGAAACCTTGCTTCCCACGCTCTAAGATGGACTGGGGAATCGAGTGCCTCTAGAACCTGGGCGCCAGCCTCTCACTGCTTTGGAGAGAAGGCTGGGAGGCCAGAGAGCTCCCCCTTGGGAGCAGTGGTGGAGGAATCACCTGATCCACTGAATCGTTGACGAGCGCTCCCACCTTCCGAACCAAGATGGCCTCCAGGATGTCATGGGGGGAGCCGCGGCCTTCACTGCTGTTGGATACGGTTTCGGGGTCTTCACTGGAGAAGGGAGATAAAGTTGGCTGTGCCCTTACTAACTGCAGCACACACTCCTGTGCCCCCCCCCATCTGCCTCCTTGTTAAGTTGCCACTAAGTGCGGGGCAAGCACCCCACGGCAAGCATGTCAGAGAGGGCACGCCGGCTGCTAACCACCTTAGTTTAGTGCTCAGCATTTCTTTTAGAGAGCCAAGCCGATTTTTAGGTTGGTTCTTCTCTTTCTCTTTCCTACTATCTATGTTTAATTAGCAATGTATGGGTTTTTTCCTGATACTACATACGGCCCAATTACCACCATCTCAGTGTTGTCCTGATGAAAAGACCCAGGTCCTGGATCTGATGCCCAAGAGCCGGGATCATGGACAATTCCAGCAGCCTCTGCCTCATGGTGTCTGGTTAAGACTCCCCATGCTCCCCTCCTGTCCCTGGGTTCAGGTAAACTAGTCGTTTTAAGAGCCCAAGGCAGACAGACACTAAGGAAAGGAATACAGGGCAAGAGAAAAGGACTGAGGAAAGCCTTCTTCAATGGAAGGGTTTGACAAGGGAGGAGTGTTTGCTTGTTGCCAATCCGTTCTTGATCCGTTAGGAGACAAGTGCCAGGAAAAATTTCCTGTTTCTTGGAATAAAATAAGAAACATCCATTTATTTCTCCACAGCTGGACCCATAGCTAGAAAGTGGCTACCTCCCCCAGGCCTCCCACAGTGGGCTCAGGGGACTGGTCAGGAGCCCATATGTGAAGCATTAAGCAAAAGACAGAGTTCCTGCTCATCTGAGCGACGTGTGCCCCCAAGCAGGAAGAGCCTGAGGTTGGGAGAGCCTTGGGCCTTCCCGACAAGACTATACTGGCAGTAAACAAACCTGCTGGAAGGAGTGACTATGTAGTGGGCACCATCGGAAGGGGTACAGGTTGCCATCTTCTCATGGTCGGCCTGGGTGCCGTGGGCAGGCTGGCTAGGAGCGAGGGGCACTCCACCTTCCTTCCCTGGAACCATTAACTCCAGGGACGAACAAATAAAGATCCAATTAGTGATTACAGCATGGCAGACGGGGGGAGCCTCCCGTCCTATTACACTGGGCATCTGGTGACAAGGCTTTCCCCTAGCAATGCTGACATCTGCATGGGGACACGAACCTCCAGCCCTGCTTCCAGACTAGCTCAGCTGGAGATAAACAGTCAGTGACTCCCAACAGGGTGAAGGAAAGAGCAACATACCCGGGAGGAACCTTTCCCCCCTTGGACTCATCTCACCTGGGGCCCAAGGATCTCTGGTTGAACATCACTTGGGTCTCCCTTAGGGAGAGAAATCCATTTGGAGGTTTTAATTCCTAGTCCTTTCAAATACTCATGATGTCCCTGTGCGGCTAACGGACCTCCCCAGGGCCACATGGTCAGAAGGTCCTTCCGTCCTGACTTCAGCGATACCTGGTGAGGGTGGGCAGCGCCTGAGCCAGCAGCAAAGACCACTGGATGGGCCAGCTCAGCTGATCCAACTCCCAGAAGAGTGGGCTGATAGGAAAGGCGGGAGCTGGCGAGCTAAGTGAGAGAAAAACAGAGAAGGCAAAGGGAAGGAAGGCAGAGGAGGAGGGGGGAGGAAGGAGATGGAGAGAGGAAGAGAGAGGAGAAAACAGGGCAAGTCTAGCAATGTGAGCAGTAATAAGGACCCGCAAAGAAAGTAGAGAAGTTCAGAACCCCAGCCCACCCTCTGGGGGGATGGGAGGTGGGCTGGAAGAGGGACCTGAGCTAAAGACTCAACAGGTTTGGATATTTCTTTGTAGATGAAAAGGTATAGAAATGCAGTGAGGTGGGAGGCTGGTTGGCTTTTTTGGAGAAAGCCTGGATTTATGGGTGGACTAGTCTATTCCGAGGGGTCAGAGCTAAGGGGCACCAGGCTGAAGGGCTCTCTTGGAGCCACTAATACCAGTCAATGTCTCCAAAATCCTCTTTTCCTTCTCTCCTTGGTGCGCCTCTGTGACAGAAGCCCGTCTTTTCAGATCTAACTCTCTTTTCACCCAGAAAATGGAAGAGCTTTTGTTTATATTTCAAAAGATTACCAGCCTCAAATTGTGTATTTGGAAACAAGATATAAATAACTCCCTATACTTGTCACATCAATGGAAAAAGGAGGGGCAAATGCAAGGTCCTATTTTGGGTTGATATGGTCCTGGTAACCCCTTAAAATCAAACCACCCATTCCAGAATAACAATCCCATAAATCCCAAAGGACACTTGGGAGTACTAAAGGGTAGAGAATAACTTGTACTTTTTTTTTTAAGGCACTATACCATCATTCCCTCTCTTCCCATTATGGACTCACTTGGTGGGAAAAGGCCAGTCCTGCCACTGGGACCCTCAAGGTGTCCGTCACCACCGGAGTAGGGGTCTGAAAATGTGCCTTACTAACTGTGAACACACACTAGACACAGACACAGAAGAAACAAGAGAGGAAGAAAGAAAACAGAAAAGGACTTGAGAACAAAGTGGAAAAGAGGTGAAGGAGCTAAGCCCTGAAAAGGAACTGTTAGAACTTGAGATGGATGGCAGTGGACGAGGAGAAGGCCCAACTGACTGTCCTATGGCTAGGATTCCTGAGGCTGCAACCCAACGCGGACACGTGTGCAAGAGCTTAGCACTCACAAACTCTAGGAACACGCACAAAGTATTCTCCTTCCTTGTATCAAAAGGAGCCCAGCGAGGAGTGGAGCCCTTGCTAGCAGGGGCCGTAGGGGAGCTGCCTCTGAGAAGCAGAGTCAGGTCCAGGGATTTTCACCTGGAGAAGGCCCCAAGCCACATCCTCCACTGCCATTCATCCTAGCTGTGTCCTGGATGTCCCTGAACGTGCAGGAGACACCTGGTAGACACAAGCTAGGGTGATTTTAAGGCCTTCTTTCAGTCCTGCTCCTCCTTGCCCTCTCTCCTGGACACTCCCTCCTCTGGAGATTCTTGGGACACTGGTCCCCTCCCCCCAGGTTCTCCTCCTTCCTAGCAGACCATTCTTCCTCAAGTCTCCTTTGCCGGATCCTTATCCAGACTGAGCCCTCTAACCTTAGGTGTTCGTAGGCCCCTCTCCTCTTCTCCCTCTACACTACCTCACGTGGTGATGTCACCAGCTCCCAGATTTACCTTTACCACCTCACACTCCGATCACCTGCCTGACATCTCAAACTGGATGTCCAGTAGACGTCTGAAGCTCAACGTGTTCTAAGCAGGACTCTTTCCTCCTAAAACCTCCCCTTCCCCCTAACTACTTTCCCTGTGAGTGCACAGGCCAACACCATCCTCCCAGTCCCCAAAATCACAGCCCGGGAGTAACACTGGACTGCGTCCAAGGCCTGTTGATTTCACCTCTGCAGCACTCTCCGACACGCACCCTTCTCTCCTCGGAACTGTCCCCTCAGGCCTGGACTACTCCAATAGCTGGGGGGAAGGGGGGGGTCTGCCCAGTACAGTCCTTCCTCCATTCAGTCGCCAGTGATTCTCCTAAAGAACAGGTGCAGTCGTGGCCCTCCTCTGGTTAAGAGCCTCCAGCGCTCTCTGTCAGCTCCAAGATCAAATACAAGAGGCGCTCTCTGGCATTCAAAGCCTCCCCCTGCCTGCCCTGCAAGGCTCTCTCTCCTCTCTGCTCCAACCACTGACCCTCCCAGTTGCAGTGAAGTCCCAACTAAAACCCCGCCTTCGAGGAAGGGCTTCCCTCTGTTCATCACTCCCCACTTCTCCTGTATACAGCTTGCTCTGTATATGTCTGTCTCCCCAGCAGACTGAAAGCTCCTTGAGGGCAGGGGCTGTCTTTTCCCCTTTTTTCGAAACCCCAGCACTTGGCACAGTGCCTGGCACACAGTAGGCATTTTAACAAGGGCAATGAGGGACCAGGGTTCTTCTTGGCCCAACTTTAAAACAAAGCGCATCAATCAGCTGATCAGCGCTCACAACATCCACTGAGGAGACGCTTCAGGACCTTTCATCCCGAAGCCACCGCAGGATGAGAGCTGGGGTTCCAACAAAGAAGCGGCGCGCTGGCTCAGAGGCCAGCAGCCCTCTATCCCAAAGAAATACAACTCTTGATTCTGCCTGGAATGGGGCTGGGAAGGGCATGGCCTTCTCCCCTTTCACCTAGGAGCTCTAGGGCCACAACCAGAGCCAAACCTCTTGACATAGGCCCACACAATTTCACTTCTTTAAATCTAATTAAGGAAGGCTCAGATGCCCTCTTGTCTTTCTGCATGGAATGGAATGAGCACCCAACTGGTTTTTCAGAGCTAGGCCATACCCCTGTCAAGTACTACTTAGAATGCCAACTGTTTTAAAATACTTTATTGCTCTGGAGAAAACCCCAAGCAGCAGCTGAATCAAGCGTTCTTGTCTTTCTACCTTAAAAAGACAAAGAGAAAGGGAGGAGGGTGCTCCACTGCTGTCATGTCACCCACTACCCATACGCGGGCTGGCCTTCCACTGAGCAGTCCACTAAATGGATGAGAAATCTCCAGCAGTGCTGGGTCACCTCAAGCGTGAACTAGGGACACCCTGGAATTAGAGGGTGGGGGATGAGGAACAAGACTCAGGTAAGACGATCTGGCGGATCTAGGTGGTGTTGGGTGCCACGGAAGGGCCATTCCTTAATGACCCAAGCCTCTGGGCACAAACAGGCAAAATGCTTCCCTAAGCAAGACTGCCGAAAACACTGCCTAGAGAGCCTGCCTTAAGCGACTTGGCATCTGACAGTACAGAGTAATCTCAGGTGGAAAAGCAGCTCCTGGTTAAGAATGTCCACAGACGAGGGACAGACTGGCAGCCCAAGCCCTGGCCCGTGCCTACGGAGTCGTCTCCAGTTGAGCAGTCTTTTGTCTAATCCCAACTTCCAGGAAACCATGGCCCCAACTCAGGGGACCGGCCCTCCCTGGACCAGCTTTAGGACCCAGGTGTGAGCCTGACCTTCCCTGACACGTGAGGCCCATGGGATCTGCAGACAATCTTAGCCCTTCACCTCAATGGTACAAATGGTGCGTGCGCATCACATGGCTCAGCTCCCGCCTCTCACCCCCCAGCCACTCAGTCAGCTCTTCAGGGATCCCCAAGCCTCTCCCTTCCTCCTACCTGGGATGGAGGGGAGGTTGAGAAAGAGGTTGTGCAGACTTCCTGAGAGTCCTCAACAGATGGATATGCTACCCCCAGCATCCTCACCAGCTGTCCTACAGGGAGAGAAAAGAGAATGTTTCACAGCAGAGGCAGACAGCCTCAGAAACAAAAACAAGCAGGTTTGTGGGAATGGAAGGAAGGGAAAGTTTCAGGTAAAGAATCAGTGTCAAAAAGGGGAAGACAAAAGAAATGCCTCCTTGTCAGAGTGTGTCTAAGGAGGCAAGTGAATTAATGTCAGTCGTCACCCATGGAGGAAGAAGAGAGCGGGGGTCCAGACATTTGTCCCTGGCTTTCTTCTAGCTCACTTCCTTACCCCACAGCTCTCAAAGGAAAGGGTCTCTCCCTGTTCCTTCTATCCCTGAGGGCCTCAGTGCCACAGAAAGACAGTGGACAGAGCATACTCGTCTGTGTGAGCTATTACTGAGATGTATCCAACGAAGCAACCTCAAACACCCAGAGCCGTGAGCAGCAGGGCCTTGGGTGGCACACCCTTGTTCCAATTCCTAAAACACCCTCCCACTCTGTGGGACCTTGCTGCCCCCTGGCAGAGCCAGCTAGTGCCAGCTAAGGCTCTGAGCACTACCCTCTGACCAAGGAAACTGCTAATCAGAGCGCCATCCAAAGTGTACCTGGTAGCCAAGCATCCTGAGAGCCAACAGTGCCTGGAGTGAGACCTGCCTAGCCTCGCGAGCTGGGGGTTTTGAGTGCCCTTGTTTCCTCACCTGTAGTTGCAGGGGTGCATGGGCGAGGAGCTGGGGTAGGGACGGTCCACAAAATGGTCAATGACAATCCCCATGATAGGTGGGGTCCTCTCAAACTGCCTGCAAAGCAACAAGCAGATTGTTTGATGTTAGTGGGTCTTCCTGGCCCCGCCCCTGGCATGTGCTAGTAGGGTCCCCAAGTGTGCTAAGCCTGGCAGCTTTACAAACCCTCCACCGAACCGGAGATCCTGGACCTACAGGTTCCGGGTCACTGAGCCACTGCGCCTGGGGCGTTTTTACTCTCTCTGTCCCTGTCCTTCAAAGAGCTTAAGCCTCCTAGGGGGCGGGGGCGTGTTCCACAGGGAGAGCAGGGCTGGCACAGAGGTTCGGTTCTCAAAGCTCGAGAAAAGGGATAATGCTCCTGCTCACCTGGCAGACATGAAGGCCAGGTTAACTCTGTAGGCACAGGACAGAGTGACGGTGCCCACTGGGGTGCCTACTGTGCCAACTCGGACTGTCTGGAAGCCTAGAAGAGAAGCAAGGTGAGCCTTTCTGACTTCCTTCAGGCCCCTCAGGTGCTTGTCTTTCCCTGTATCAAGGACTCTCTACAAGGCTCGTTCATGGAAATGTGCGTGCACACACACACACACACACACACACACACACGCACGCACGCACGCACACACACACACACACACACGCACACACTCTCTCTCTCTCCCCCCCTCAATGTGGCCCTAGGCCCCTGCTTTCTTTCACAGGCACCAAATAGTCATGGATAAGGAAACAGGACACTGGCTTTAACAAGGAATGACAGGTCCAAGCTGAGAAGTCTAAGAAATATTCTGTGTCCATCCCCCATAGCATTCTGCGCCATGGACATCAGGGGCAGGTGCCCAGAAACCACCGTGCCAGAAAGGAGCACATTCAGGAGTCATCCCTACTGAGGGATGAGGGGAGACCCGTGGGTGGCACATTTATAAGTGGAAGCACCCCTAGAGTGAAAGGGCCTTGCTAACATGTAGGCTGTGCAGACAGAACAGTAGTACCTTCTCCTAAGCCGTTCAACTGGACTTCTCCAAAGTATATCCTGTGGGAAGGAGACAAAGGAATACTGTGTGAATTTAGATTTATTTTTGGCCTGTAATAAGTAAGAGTAGTTCACAGCTGGTTTGCTCAGCCACAGTGGAGGCTGTCCTGAGGGCTGCAGTTAAACTAGTCTTAGCAATCCAAGGAGAAACACTTCATCAAGGCAACACTGCTAAGCCTCATGCCTCCCCGGGCGACCAGCCGTCCACCCCTCATCTGTCTGCCACACCCATCCTTATGGCTCCCTGAAGGTAGGGCTGCGTTGCCTTTCTTTACATCCCCTGCACTTACGGAGCAGAGTGATGTGAACTCACCCAATTCTTAGTCATGAGATGACTGCAACCCTGAAGAAAGATCAAGAACTCATGGTAATTTCTTTCCTTTCTTGAAATCACATACTTGCTGCTCACAGAACCAAAAACACCTAGGCCTCCCACATAGCTAAGATCCTCCCACAAGATACTAGCTTGAGCTGTCGAGAGATCATTCATACTTCGCTCCCCTTAAAAACAAGACAAGCACATAATTGGGAAACTATATTTTCCGATCCAATGAGATTTCTGATCTGGAAGAATTAGCTGAACTTTCAGCTTCTAAAAACCTAGTAAGAACCTCTTTGATTCCCTGTTAATCTTAGGAAGCTGACATTAGGGAAAAGTCTGAATCACAGGACATTTTAAAAGAAATGATCTTTAATTATTGAAGGACATATAGTAACAAGCTAAATATTCAAAGAGGAAGCGGGTCTATCCCCCTCATTATAATGAAGAGTCTATTCTCTTCTAGCCATTAAACATCTCTCCTGACAATTGTGTTCCTATCCTGTGTTAACTCTGCAAATCCTTTTTCCATTAAGAGTGCAAAGATAAATTCAAATATAGTTCTGATTAAGAATTTTAGAAGGATCCAAATTAGCCAGCAGATAACACTGGAGAAAAACCTGGAAGTGTTCTGGTCCATCAGAATTAATGGCATGCTTCTGTAGGCAACTAGCAGATTCTCTTATAGACCGCCCAGGCACTATTTTTTCTTTTTTTAATATATTTATTTTTAGTTTTCAACATTCACTTCCACAAGTTTTTGAGTTCCAAATTTTCACCCCATCTCACCCCTCCCCCCACCCCAAGATGGCATGAATTCTGAATATCCCTTCCCCTAGTCTGTCCTCTCTTCTATCTCTTCCCCGCCCTTCTCTTATCCCCTTCCCCTTCTATTTTCCTGTAGGGCAGGATAGACTTCTGTACCCCATTTCCTGTGTTTCTTATTTCCCAGTAGCATGTGAAAACATTTTTTTTAACATGTTTTTAAAACTTTAGGTTTCAGATTTTCTCTCTTCCTCTCTCCCCACCCACCCTCATTGAAAAGGCAAGCAACTCAATATAGGTTGTACATGTGCAGTTATGCAAAACACTTCCATAGTAGATGTGTTGTGAAAAACTGACTCTAGTTCCTTTAATCCTATCCTGCCCTCCCATTTATTCTATTCTTTCTTTTGACCCTGTCCCTCCTCAGAAGTATTTACTTCTGATTACACCCTTTCCCAATCTGCCCTCCTCTCTATCATTCCTCTGTTCTCTTGTCCCCTTCTCCCCCTATTTTCCTGTAGGGTAAGACAGATTTCCATACCCAATTGAATGTGTATGTTGTTCCCTCCTTAAGCCAAATCCTATGAGAATAAGATTCACTCATTCCCTCTTACCTTCCCCCATTTCCCCTAAAAGTTTTTTTTTTGTGACATAATCTACCCCTTTCTACCTCTCCCTTTCTTCTTCTCCTCCAAGCATAATTCTCCCCCGTCCCTTAATTTTATTCTCCAGATAAGACCCCTTAATCGTCAACTCACCCTGCAGGCACTATTTTTTAAAGAATTCATAGGGATCCCCTCAATTTTCAATTATTTGCCACTACAAAAAAGAATTAAAAATCAAGGGGATGCTCATCAATTGGGGAATGACTGAACAAGTTGTGGTATATGATTGTGATGGAATACTACTGTGCTATAAGAAATGATGAGCATGATGCTCTCAGAAAAACCTGGACTAAGATGAACCGATACAAAGTGAAGTGAGCAGAACCAGGAGAATGTTGTATACAGTGACAGAAATACTGTATGATAATTAACTGTGAATGACTTAGCTCTTCTCAGCAATACAATGACCTAAGATAATTACAAAGGACTTATGATAAAAAATATTGCCCACCTCCAGAGAGAGAACTGATGGAGTCTGAATGCAGATCGAAGCATAATTTTTCTGCCTCTTTTTTTTCTGGTGAGGCAACTGGGGTTAAGTGACTTGCCTAGGGTCACACAGCTGGTAAGTGTCAAGTGTCTGAGTCTAAATTTGAACTCAGGTCCTTCTGACTTCAGGGCCAGTGCTCTATCTACTTGGCCACCTAGCTGTCCCCCAAAGCATACTGTTTAATCTTTATTTTCCGTGTGTGTGTGTGTGTGTGTGTGTGTGTGTGTGTGTGTGTGTGTGTGTGTGTAGTTTGGGTTGTGTTTTCTTTCATAACATGACTAACATGGAAATATATTTTACATGACTGCACATGTATAACCTATATGAAATTGCCTGCCTTCTCAATGAGGGGGGAGGGAAGGGAGGGAGAGAATTTGGAAGTCAAAATTTTAAAAAAGAATGTCAAAAAAATATTTTTGGAGAGGGAGAACAAAAAATTCACGGGGATCACACTCTCTAAAAGATTGGGGGGAAAAAAAAACAAGGAAAGGAACAGCCTGAAGAACTAAAGATGAGCCACCCCAGGTTCAATAAAATGTGAGAATATGTCAGAAATATCCAGGCCTGTTAAAGGGCCTCAAAACCAGGCCACTGAAGGATTAGATGAAAGAGCTAGGGATGTTAAACCAGGAGGATCGAAGACTTGGCAGGGGAAGGCAGAGAGATAGAAACAGTCTTAAAGTATTCGAAGGGCTTGTGGAATAAGTATTAACATTGCTCTGCTTGGCTCCACAAAGAAAGCTAGGAGCACTGGCTAATAAGGAAGGCTGTCCAAAAGTGGGCTGGACTGCCCTAGGGTGTACTGGTTTCTCTCTCATGGGAGGGCTCTGGCCTCCCACACTGTAGAAAGAATTCATAACGTCACCAGTATGGGCTGTCTCAAGGGCTGTATCAACGGAAGCCTTGGAGGTTCTGCGAAGTTAGCAAACTCCTCTGAAGAGGTGGAAAAAACAGCCAACCCAGCTTGAGGAGGAACACAGTCGGGTGTGCCATAACCATTTCCTTCCCTTCTCTGACACACAGGGTGGCAGGCCATGTAGAAGAGGGAGGAGGAGATGGAATACACTGAGATATTTAAGGTCTCTGGTACTTTCTTTCATCAACAAGCTAGGAAGCTCCAGTCCACACCAGGGGTGCCAAACTTGAAGAGAAATGGGGCCACTAAACTGTACACACGGATCCCTGTGGGCCACCAAGCTATCTCTCTCTTCCTTTATTTTTGTTTATTTCACTAAATACTCCCCAGCTGCATTGTAATCTGGCTCTGGCTGTACTTGAAATGTTATTGCCCATGTTTGACACCTCTGGTGTCAAAACAGACCAGCTGTTTTCAAGTTGTCTCCAACTGGGAATCTTTGGTGGTTCCTAGAAAACTATCATTTATTTGGGATAAAAATGGAGGCAGGAAATGTTTGCTGTATTAGCAAATAACTGGAAACTGACCGGGAAACGGCTGAACAAATTGTGGTCTGTGAGTGTAATGGAATATTCCTGTGCTATAAGAAATGATGAATATGGAAAAACCTGGAAGACTGAAAACAATGTACACGACTACCATAATGGAAATATAAAGAACACCATCACCATGAGAGAAACAAAATGCAATAAAATTATCATTGCCCGGCCTGCCTCCAGAGAAGGTTTCTCTCCCCGTATACGCTTCGTGGCTGAGGGGGACCATGGGTACAGAATGCCACATGTAATGGCAGATTTTCAATATGTTGATTAGTTTTATCGAACTTATTTTTTTTTTCTTTTCAAAAATTCGTTCTTATGATGGGTGGCTCTCTGGGAGGGGGTGAGAGGAGGAAAACAATGAGAGATGTAGGTAACATAAAAACAAAAGATATCAATAAAAATTCATTCTTTTAAAAAATGGAGGCAAGTGGACAAGATGACCTTTTTAGGTCCTTTCCAACCCTGTAATTCACAGAGGTATTCGTCTGTTAGTATGAACTTAAAAGCCCATCCACAGGGATCAAGCCTGTAATAGTGAGGCTGCACAGCAGAAAGAACACTGGGTTTGGAGTCAGAGCAGGGCTCCAGTCTTGCCTCCAACATTCCCCGGCAGAGGCAGAGTGGCTAAAGGCCCCTTCCTCAATCACTTCCCCTTTCTGAACGTAACTTTCCTCATCCGTAAAATAGGGACAATATTACTTGCTATACATGTCCCTCCCAGGGTGGGAGGGTAAGAGGAAAGAGCTTTGTAAAGCATGAAACAGGAAAAAATTTGAGTGAATGAAAAAGCACTTACTGTGCGAACATTTGAGCTCAGCTGGATACAATTAAAAAAGCAAAGACAGTTCAATGCCCCCAAGGATCTTCCACTGCAATGAGGAAAATGAACACACCCAGGAGCATGGGGGCCAGGGAGGGAACCCTCTGAGGCAGAAAGTTACAGGGTGTTGGGTGGGACCACAGAGCAGCGGCTACCCAGGAACACTGCCACAGAAGAGTCCGACTATGGTTCCAAAAGCAATGTGGGCCCGGGGGAGGAAGGGGCAAGAGCACCATGAGCTCCTGTTATTGCTGCGTGGGCCAGGAGACACAAGCTGAGCCACATTACCACTAGAGAACAAGAGTGGAAAGGAATACCCTTTACCTGTAGAGTATGACATATTCACGGCCCTGTTTCCTGGAGAGTCGGTAGGCTGGTGTCACTCTAGTGATAGCAAGCAAAGACTTGAGCAGTAGTGACAGCCTATTGTACACAGTGTAGGAAACTTTAATTTCTTTGTCGCACCTGGACAGGAGCATCGAGAAGGTGTTAGTTTGATCCTATTACATCCAGGAGAAAGTTGGCTCTGGAAGGAGACTTGTTAATCAGCTGTGGGGGGAGGGGGCCAGATGGACTTGTGAATGTTCCCAAGAAATGGAAGGTGGAATCCCTTTCCAAGTTCACCTTGCCCATCACCCCGTCTTCTTTGCACCACCCCATTCTCACCCCTCTCCCCAGCTGATTAAGCTGATCTGAATCCACCTTTTATTTGAAGGCTATCACTTCTTCTGCCTCACACCCAGTGGTAGCTGGAGAATCAAGTGCTACAAACAGGTAATGCTAACACATTCCTACAGAAGGAATCAACAGAGCTCTGTCTTAACCTACTGATCAACGTACCAGGCGCAGCTGGTAAGAGAAGCAAAGAAGCAGAAGGTGCTTCCTGTAACTCATCTGCTAATTCTGTTTTTGTTTTTTTTTTGTTTTTAGGCAATTGGGTTTAAAAGGACTGCTGTTCCATCCACTGTGCCACCTAGCTGTCCCCCCCACCCCACCCCATACGATCCTTAGAAGCAGCGATTCCTAAGTGTAATTGTACAGAACAGAGATGCAAACCTCACGTACCACTTCTATCTCACTGAGAGGAATTTCAGAGCTGCCTGGACTGAACAGGCAATCTGCAGGAGACCAGTCTGCTTGCAACAGTTTAATTTATAACCTCAATGTGATGACAGTTTTCTACTATAAAATAAACCCATATGTAACTCATATATATTGATGAAATTGGTTTATACTTAATATTTCTTTAATTTCTCTGTACATCTTTTCTTTAAAGTTTTAGACAGGAACTTGACTGGCTGACTTCTGAAGGACAAAAAAAACCCAAAGAGGCAAATCCTTGGACCTCACATACCTGTTTTAACAGGAGGGTCATATGGAAATCTTACTGGAGGTTTGCCACACAAAGAACAGACAAAAGAAGTACTCAGGAAGCAAGAGCCCCCAAGGGATTTCACCAGAATATTACTTGTTTTCAGGGCAAACAAACCTTTTTCCCCTCTTTTTTGAAAAGGAAGTCTCCCGGGGCAGCTGGGTGGTGCAGTGGATAGAGCACCGGCCCTGGATTCAGGAGGACCTGAGTTCAAATCTGGCCTCAGACACATAATACTTAGTAGCTGTGTGACCCTGGGCAAGTCACTTAACCCCATTGCCTAGCCAAAATAAATAAATAAATTTTAAAAAAAAGAAAAGAAAAGAAAAGGAAGCCTCCCTAGCAGGTCCTGTCTCAATCCAGCCTGGTGCCTGAGGCGCTACAGCCCCTGATCTCTCTTCAGCACAATATGCTCAGTCACACAACCCCCAAGATTCCTGAATTGGGAAACACACTTACTTTTCATTCATTTCAAGACACCAAATTTCTAGTTCCATGGAATCTCCCTGTAAATGAGTGGAGAATATCAATCAATCTTATGGTCACCTGAAGAACTGTGTTACTGACTCCAGAGACTCTTGTGATAGGGGCACTCCCACACACATACATCCACCCCCCCAGACAACTTGCCTAGATATAGGACTTGGACCCAATGGGCGTGAAGGAGAAGGGTTTAACCCCTTCTCTGAAGTGACAGCCCTTCAATCCCACCAATATCAAGCGTTCTGTTTGCCACTAAGCAAGTGGGAGTGTTACATAAATCTAAACATAAGCAAATCTTTTTTTTTTTAAGGGAGACCAATGAGAAACAAGGACAGAAATGCTCAGGTTCAGGAGTGAGCCTGGATTAGGCAGGTGTGCAGAAGACTAGCATTAGCTCTAGATGAAGTGCAAACTTCTCGTGTCTTCATTTTAAAAAGGGGAAGCTTTCTTGATGAGTCTAGTGGTGACTAGTTACTGGGCATTCTCTTAGGATCTGAGATAAGAAGAAAAGCTTCGTCCTGAGATCCAAAACATGCTGGCGTACCTGGCTGAACACGGGTTTTTTCACCATCTCCCCAGGAGGAGAGACACAATAACATTAATGATAATGGTAACAACGAAGACAACAATGAACCAAGGTGACAGCATTTGTACAGAGCTTGAAGGGTGGTACTGTAGACATGTGAGCACATTTGATCTGTGAGGGAAGCGCTAGTCAAAGGTCTGATGTAAATTCAGGCTGTCTTCCTTCAAAGTGCTTTACCCACGAGGCTATTCAACTGTGAGTCCCTAAGGATGAAGACTGAGCTAGAGCCCGGGGATTCAGTCACGGAACACAAGACAAGAAGCCCTAATGTCTTTAGGACCCAAGTGTCCCAAGCTGGCCCAAGGATCTGTAGCTCAGATGCCTCATCACCTCCGAAGTCTTGAGCGAGATTTCCACGCACATAGACCTCCCCACAGCGGGCAGCTGCCCTGCCAGGGCCTTCTTGGCCTCATGTGTGACCTCTGGGATATCCTTGATGGCCAAGTTGAACTGCAAAAAGAATAGATCATTTTTCTTGTTAAAACCTCCAGGGACTTTTGCCCAAAGGAGCATTACAGGCATGTCAAATAAGTTTCACTTCAAGGAAGGCCTTGCTATTGTTAGGGAGAAGACATTTTCTACTTGCGGTAAGTGGAAACCCTCACTAACACCCCCCTTTCTTCATAAATGAATGTTTATGATGGAGCTCCAAGCATACAGCTGGATAAGCCAGGACGTGAACTGTCTTTAAACCCAACAGATGGCTCTCCTCTTCCAAACCTCCTTTGTCTTGGCTGCAAGAAGTCAAGAACCAAACACAAGAGGAGAGCATGAGAGTGGAGAGCAGGCTTTGCTTTGTCTAGTCAGTGGCCCCAAATCCTGGCTTACTAAACCGCAGAAAATCCACTTTTTGTGCAAACAGAGAACGCATAATATTGCCAAAAATAAGGCTTTACCCAGTCAGATCCTGTTGGGGAAGATGACGAGCGAGTACAAATCTTCTCTCCAAGCCGTGCCTGGACTATCACTTGGACCGTCTGCAGAGAAAATAAAAACCCCAAAGGTATGTGCTTGGAAAGGGATGGATCTTAAAGGATTTACACAACAATTGGGCTCCTGATAAACACTGAAGTGTTAGTAGGACAGGCTATCAACGCAGCCAGAGTGTGCTACAAGAAAGGGATTACCAGAGCTTAGAAGGCCCAAGGACAGAAGAAGCACTGCACAGCCTCTAGGAGGTCCAATGCCGGCCAGCAGAAATGCCTGTAGTTTGCCAGTATGACATAGGTGAAGTTCTCACATGGCAGAATGAAAGCTGAATGTGGCAGCTATGGTTTTTCCCAAGAATACAAGCCCAATTGTGGATGTGAATACGCACTGCCATGAACTCATGTAGGCTTGAACCAGAAAGCACTACTCAGTCACACAGGCATAACCAGATGGCAAAAGGCTCCCAAACTATTTCAGGACCAGATTTTGTGTCTGCATTGGTTGAGCACAGCAATAATGAGGGAACTTCACAAAAGAGTTAGGAAAACACTCTGCACAGCTTTCAATATTTAGTTTAAAAAAACCCATTGGCCAGGAAGTTATAAAAAGTAAAAAAATGGGAATGTCAGGGGGAGGATGTGCTTAAGGGAAGATGCCTAAAAGATGTTCATGGTGACTACTCAACACTCGCGGTCTCTCCCATTGCGTGGGAATGCGCTGTGCCAAGAAACAGGGCTCATAGCCTGGCATTTCTGCTGATGAACGGCCTCGCGGTCTGCCCCCACCCCCACTGGAGTGAGTAACTGAGGAAAACTGGAAGCTGCTTCCTAGCTACACCCCCTCCACCGCCCCCAGGCCTTCACAGTTTGGTTTACAAGAGACAGAACTCATACCAGTTACCCCCTCAAATGGGCAAGCTGCAAGCCGTCACGCATGATACGTTTCAAAAGACTGGAACAAAAAGCATAGCAGTCATTGCTAACAGTTCTAGGGCCACGTGAACCAAGAACATATTACTGACCTTCAGGGCGAAAAACTTGATGAACTTGTCCAGGTCCTTCCTGTCCTGGGAGCTGAGATCAGCATCCATTGCACACACAAATCTGAAACACACAACACCAGTGCGGCACGACACTGACCTCTGGGCATGAACTGTCAAATCACATAGGGAAACTGCTCTGTACTCAACGTCAGCTCAGGAAAGTGGCAGGGCAGGAACGGAGATCTTCAGTTATCTAAGGAGGGCAAAAAGGGAAAGGACTGGAAGCAAAAAGTCCCTTTACGGAGCCATAAAGCCATCCTTTAAACAGTGTTTTCTTGATAATCTTTTTTGGCAAGGCAACCCCCTCCCAAGACACCTTCCCTCCAACAGAGTCCACTTGGGTCAAAGAAGTGCAGGTAAGCAAAAGAAACCATCACACTGTCTTGGTCCATCGTCTACTCTCTCTCTCTTTACAAAAGGATTAGCTATCACATAACACATCAACTTGGTACACGGAGGATAAGATGACCCCATTAGTCTATTCTTCTTGACAAAGGCAGAGTATCAAAATTTGCTAGAAGTATAGAAAACATGCTATATTACCCCATAGGTTGAGTGAACATAAGCTTCTGGCAGATAAAACATTCTGGTGAGGTCAAAGTCAAACAAGAAGTCTCTCTAGGGCCTTCCACCCAAGACTTGTACTGACTGTGCGGAGCTACAGGGGGTATGATGGGTGAGGCCTGGGGCAAACAGCAAACCAACTAGAAAAGGTTTCAAAAATTCTGAAAGATGAAATCTAGATATGTTCAATGGGAAGGTTGGGACAACACACAATTAACATAACAAAGAATGGAATGCAAACAAGGGCCCATAGGTTCCCAGAGAACGGAATAAGCACACTATTACAAATCCACTGCTATTTACACTGCGTGTGTGTGTAAGTCTTTGCAGAGATTGGTTCGATTCAGTCCTGGATACTAAAGACTTGTATCAGGGGATATTGGAAATGCCAGCCTTTGGAGGTTTCTGCTTGGAACAAGTCATCTACAATGCACATATAAAGTGGCGATAGGGCGGAGGACAAAGCATGATTGACTTGAAGCAGAGGTTTGGGGGTCTGGGTTCAAATTGTGGCAGCACCATCAGCTCGGATAGATTAATCTGTCTCGGCTTCAGTTTCCTTTTCTGTAAAAAATGAAGACATCTGCACTACCCTGGTGGTAGCATGCTGAGGGGGAAGTACTTTGCTGGGAGAGAGTTGGTAAGCACTGATTTTAAAGGGCTCCCAATGTAAATTATCTTCTCTCAAAATATTGAGTTTCATTTATAGAATGAACAGAAATTAGGAAGCTGTGATTTCCACACATCCCATAAAATTATATTCACTGGGGGACCTGGAATCTGTGCAGAATCCTCAAGGCCTGGCTGGAAAGTAACTCTGCTACCCCCAATGACCAGGCACAAAGTTTATTAGACAGCCTTTACTACAAAACAGCACCTCCACCAACTCACACCTGCCCAGTGCCTGGCACCCAAAAGGTGGCCAAAGAATTTTACAAGCTCACGCTCATACATGCTCCCATAGAGAGAAATCATTTAATGCAATATTCAAACATGGCAATTGTTCAAAAGCTGGTAGCTATGTTCTATAATGGGAAATAAAGATGAGCCTGGTAGCTAATTGAAACTACAAGGAAAAATTCAGATGGGAAGAATGTAATGGTCTGAGATGGAATTTACCACAATACCGTGGTGTTTCTTAACTAAAATTACATAGAATCTTAAAATTACTTCAGCAGAGAAATGTTATGATGTATAAGACTCTCTATTAAGGGTATCCAGAACGTGGAAAAAAGTCTCTTCCCTCAAGGCCCTGATAACCTAGTAGAAGAAAAAAGACCACAGTAGAAGAAAAAAGACCACAGACAAATAACTATACTAAGAGAGCAACTGCTCACTGCTAAGGTGATCTAAGAAGGACACAACTCTTAGTCTCACCTTGAAATATCAGTAGACTATCAGTAGGTATCCAGCAGACAGAGTGTTGGCCTGCAGTCAGGAAGACCCGAATCCAGATCCAGCCTCAGATACTTACTAGCCGTGCGACCCTGGACAAGTTCAGAATACAGGGTGCTGTCTCTGTAAAGTAGCAGAAGCAGAGAACTCTGAAGAGGTGGGCAGGAGCCGAAGCACAAAGGATCTTGCATGGAAATGTTCAATCAGTGGGCACGAGGGAGCCAGTGACAGTGTTTGAACAGAAGAGCGAGGTGATCAGAAGGGCTTTAGGAAGGGCATCAAGAGGCTGGGGCCAGGATGGATCAGAAGCGGGGGTGTGGAGGCAAGAAAACTAGCGAGGGCTATCATAACTGTCTCGAGATAACAAAGACCTGAAGGAGGCTAGAACTCATAGGACTCACTCAGAGCTGGAAGGCACAGCATACAGAACATGTGCTCCAACAAAGGTCACACACGCAATTCAGTGTCAAGAGCTCACTGCAGATGCAGGGCAACAGCAAGGGAAAGAAAAAAATGGATACGAGAGATCTCAAAGCCCCAATCACCACCTAAGGTGAGGGAAGTGAAGGATGTTACAGATAGGCTGAGTCAAAGAGCCACAGTTTTCAGGCTGGGTGACCAGGACAATGGTGGTGAAAGGGTCAGAAACAAGAAAGTTAGGAGGAAGAGCTAATTTGGTGGAATGGGAGATGCATGCAATTTCAGACACAGACAATGTAAGGTGCTGGCAAGAAATCCAGAGAAAATGTCGACCAGGCAGTTAGAAATGAAGGAATAAAATTTAGGAGAGTTTGTGCCTAGAGACACAGATTTAGGAGTCACATGTGTTGAGGTGATATCCAGGGCGATGGAAGTAGATTAAATCATAAGAGAACCAGCAGAAACAGAATAGATGGTACAAGTGAGACCCTTGAGGAATCCCCCAAGACGAGGGAGGAGGGGAAGCAAGTGGAGCTAGCAAAGGGGGAAAAAGAAGGCATCAAGCCAGAGTTACGGGTTGGAGAGTCACAGGAGGAATGTTTCTGCAAGAAGACGGTGGCTGGAAGACGAAAACTGAGACAAGGCTATCAAATCAGAAGGCAACTGAGCTTGGAGGGACAGGGACAGAGAGAGACTACAAGCAGTTAAGTCGAGTGGTTGACTGATGAGGAAATCAAGGATTGCCAGGGGGGCAGCTAGGTGGAGAAGTAGACAGAGCACTGCCCTGAAGTCCGGAGGACCTGAGTTCAAATCCGGCCTCAGGCTAAACACTTGACACTTACTAGCTGTGTGACCCTGGGCAAGTCACTTAACCCCAATTGCCCCCCTCCAAAAAAAGGATTGCCAGGCACACACCAGAGGCATGTTTTTGTGGTGGGCCACAAGCTTAAGAATATTCCCATCAAAGAGATTAAAGCTGAAAGAGGATGGCTGACTGGTCAAAATTCTCTATCTCTTCATCTCTTTAGCTTCATCCATGGATTTGGAAACACCTAAAATGGAGGTGCCCCACTTAAAACTCCTCAGTGAAGGGGAAACATAAAGGAAACAGAATTCCTGCAGGGCTTCACTCTTTCCCCAGGGGCCTCTTACCACTAGTCCCTACTATGACCAACGAAAGCTTCACCAAGCCCCTATTCAAGTGGCCCCAGTCATGCTTTGCCTGACTCCTACTCCCCAGCCATCTTCTTACCAAATTCCCTGAGTTCCCAGTGCCCTGTCCTCCTCGCCTCCAACAATTATCAAATCAACTGTGCTCCTGAAAAAGGAAGGTATTTTAATCTAATCTTCTGTAGCTCCCGCTTGCCATTCCAAACCAAAGCACCCCTTCTTGATCATCACTCCTCTTTATGCCTTGTCTTCTACCAGTATTTAAGCTCCTGGAACACTGAGACTGTCTTTACTTTTGTATTTGTGTCTCCAGCCTCAATAGACAAACTAGCCTTCATTCAAAGATAAAGAATTCTGTTTGGGATCCTTTTATTTAGTGAAGTTTGGATTCAGCCAAAGGGCCATGCTTGAGGATCTAGAGGGCCTGTGGTACCTCCCCGGGGGCAAAGGAAGGAGCGGTCTGGTGGAAGGAAAGCGCCCTACAAAAACTGAGGGAGCCACTTGCCTAACTAGCCTGAAGGGTGCAGCCCGTTGGGAATGGTCTTTCCAGAGGTGACCTTAATAACTAACTATAGCTGCACACACTTTAGCTACATCAGGTCACAATCTGTAATCTGAGGTATTGCCATAAGAAGACAATCCTTCCCTCTCAAATAAAACAGGCACAGTCACTGGTCTGAGCTCAGAGACTGAAAGCCCTCCCCTGCCGAGCTGCTGTCTCATGTGCAATCCGAGGCTCTTTCATTAGCTCCCCTCTTTTATTTCAAGGACATGGCCTCTCCTACCTGGCCCGGTCCCAACCCATCCATCCATTTTCATCCTGTGTCATATTGCCTATATCCTCCCATGAATCCTCCTCCATAAAGAAGTCTTCCAGGAGGACTTGTCCCCACCATACTGAAGGACTTCTGAGTCAGTGATTCCCAACTGAGGGCCCCTGGAGCTCTGAAGGGCTGTGCATGAATTCTAAGGATCCTCAAACCACTAGCACATTGAACACAGTCATTCTGATTTATATTTAGATCCATGACTTCACATAAATAAGCACATATAAACTGTACCTTGGCTACAGTTCCTTCTCCCCATTCATACTCCAATAATAATAATAATAATAACAACAACAACAATAACAACAATGATAATAATGATAATGATAATAGCAGCTCACATTTACAAAGTACTTTAGGAATAACATCTCACTGTATCCTCACAAGTCGGCCCAGGGTCTCAGGACATTAAGCATCTGAGGCTGAACGAAACAAAGGTCTCCTGACTCTTAATTCAGCACTTTCCACTACATTACACATCATGCCCTTACTCACAATGCTTCCATGGCTCCTCATTACCTACTAATTCCTGTTTGGCATTTCAAACCCTTCCCAATTTGGATCCAGCCAACTCTGGCAGACATTCACGTGACGTACCTTCACACAGTGGAACATTTCAAACTGTCTGTCTCCAGACTGGGCCGCCTCTACATAGGCTGTCTACCGTATTGAGAATACTGTCCCT